CGGTGACGGCAAGTTAGTTCGTTATTAAAGGCCTACGGGCCCCCCCGAAGCTGTCGGGTTACGTTCCGTTCCCAGCTGGGGAGGGGCAAAAAAAAAGGTGTGGTGTCATCGCGCCTCTACGGGATAATGATATATGACGAAAAAGGCAGCCCATCGTTCCAGAGCACCGGTACGGTTATGATTCCCGCCCTGAGGATCAATGGATATGACTGGTATTCTTTGGCTCCTCCCTTGGTTTGTCGCTGCCGCTGAAGGAGGATGCGGGAGGAGCTGTTGGCTGGGGACGCCGCGTGTAAGAGGATATGACAGAGGCAACTGTGATATATGAGAAGAGGGAAGTGTAGAACAGTCGATTCATCAGGTCGTTGCTGGTCATACGATGAACGAAGAGAGGAACGGAACCCCCTTTGAGAGAGCCTCGCCCCTGTAATTGAAGGGATTTGCGCTGTCATAGCCCCTGTAAAATCCGTCGCCTCGGGAGGCTCGTCACTGCAAGAGCGCTGAAATATAGCGGGTGGCTGGCGACACCAAGCGGGGCGGCCCATCCCAAGCGGTCGGGCCGTGCCCCTGGTCTGTCGATTTGGATGGCACCATGTTGCATTGTTGTTGTTGTTGTTTCTTCTTCTTTCTTTTTTTTTTTTTGCTTGCAAATTCCAAGTATTTTATCGTTTCTTTTTCTTTTTCTTTTTTTCCCTCGTATGGCTCCTCAGCGCTGCATTTATCCTCTTTTGGTCTTGTCCCCCTTGACACCACCTTGTACCGTAACCCCTGTCGCGGTTGTGTGCGCAATGCACGGCAAATCCGCATCATCGGTGGGTGGTTTTTTCTGGTCCCAGCGATCCGGAGCAGAGGCAATGGCTCGCATACACCTGCAGGCACTCCTACATCACGTTTTGTCTGCCCAGCCTTCGTATTGGTCAGTAAAGAGCGGTAAGGTAAGCGAGTGTGCATTCTTGCCTCTTGTCAGTATTCCATGTCATTGCCATTTCGCATCACCTTTATCATCCGCGGGGGAGGCTTTGCATGTCGCTCCGTTCGACTCATTCCACCAGTGGTGCCTGGCGCTGATAGAAGATGAGTGCTATCTAATTCGAATCATGTCTTTTCAAGCCGTTTTTTATTCATTCAGTAAAACATACATTTTTGTTTCTCATTTCTTTTTTAAATTTATTCATTTTTTAAACAATATTATTACTGCCTCACATTTGTACCTGACAGCTGCCCAACTCCTCACCGGACCCCCGCCCATTTTCTTTTTCCTATCATCCTCCAACACCGTGATAAATCAAAAAGCAACACGCTTGGCACGGCCCGCCATCGATCAACTCCTCTTGCCAATCCAAGCCCATCTTTGTGACGTGACTGGCTGAGCTGGTCCCGCGGCCCGGGTTTCTGGGACGCTTGAATGCCAAAAAAAGATGACTGGTTTCTTTCTATTTGTCACATTCATGCGCCGGACCTGAGCCGTTGTCTCGCATACGCTCAACGAAGAGCAGCAAACATGCTTTTCCCCGTCCTCTTTTTTGCCGTTGCGCTCAAAGGGGCGTCTTGCAGTCGGACCGTTTTTGGGGTCAACGTCGAGTGAGTGCAGATTCGCCGAGAGACACGGGACAGCCTGCGCGTCAGTTCCAGGAACATTGTCTCGCTGAACCCACCCCCGACATTTCGAATCCGGAAGGTTCCAGAGAAATATGCACCGAGCATGGGGTGACCAAGTTGGTCGGCAACGTCGTTGAAAAGGCTCGCTAAGCGACCTGGATTGGACTGGACTGCCACATCCATCCTTGCCGTGGCGTGCGAGTAACTAGTTACCCTGTGGGTGATGATACCGTTACGGATCCCCTGGCTGCCAAAACGTACAAGCATCTTGCCTGCCCGGATGTATGCATATCAGCCACCGGGTACGGGCATGGAAGAACCGCCGACAACCTTCCAGCCACCCGCCACGGAGAACACTCCCATGGCGAGATACCGAAGGGAACGAAAAGATTGGACTTGATCGTTCGTTACATGTCAAAAACGACGGCTTGCAGGTTCAAACCCTTGCTTCCTCACCGCAAAGGATCGGGCTTGCTGGCGCGCTTGTGGCTTGCGGTGGCTCTAGCGCCGGCTGCCCTTCCCCGGGTCCAGGAGAGCGGGTTTCCGGGGCTTTTTAAGGAGGGGGCAGTCACTAGGTAGTAGAGAAGGATTGGTCACTATTATCAAGTAAAACGAAACCCAAAGGGGGAGGAAAGATGACAGCAAGAACAAAATTGCAATGCAGCGTGAGGATGCAAGAAATGGGTCGGCCAGTACCTCATTTCGCCTGATTGCTCATCGCTCTGCATTTTTGAACAGGCGAGGGAAATCAGCTTTGCACCAGGCTCACCAATGACCATGGAAAGACGCAAGTTGTCCAGGTTTCGAGGATACGACAACACCCCTTCTGGCCGGTCAAGGCCCCTTTCCGGTAATGCGTACTGGTATACTTGGTAGGAATATAGCAAGGGCTCTTTGTACGTAGGTCCTCGCCGAGCTGAGGCAATGCGGGCCACTGAATATACGCAGCCGGGTTGCTGCTCTTATACTTTCAGCAGCCATAACAGGCTTTACCGTCTGGAGAAACGTTGCGAATGACGTGCGGCAGTGTCATCCTGTGGTTTGATGCTGACGCACGGCTGTTTCCCCCTCGCCACCAGCTGACTGTTTTCTACAGGATGATGGAGAGGGCAAGCATCATGCATGGTGGCAAGATGGGCTCTCGCTGGAATCAGAGTGATGGACGAGTCGCAGAGCTGTGAAAGGGAACAAGGCAGGTCTGCGAGTACGTCGGGGACGCGTCGGGACCCTTTTTTTTCCCAGCGCAGGCGGCGGCGGGTCGCGACGAATTCGTATAATTTTGACAAATGACCTTGCGTCCTGCAGAATGCATTGTAGCAACAGATTACAGTCAGCGATGTCCCCCCCCCCCAGGTTTCGCGAAAAACGTGGTTGGACCAATGGAGCGGTCATGTGGGTGGACCGTGGGGGGGAGACACAGGGCGATTTGATGAGTTGGCATTCTCAGGCTCTGACACGCTGTGTCTGGCCAGATGACCTGCTGACCACAGGGGGGTGGAAGCCTGAACTTGAGAGCACTGCCTGCCTGGTGTTGTGTACAACTTGCTGCGCATCTGGCACAGTCTGGGCAGACAAGTAACTACTAGGTATGCAAGGTATTCGTTATTGTATATCCCCAAGGTTGACAGAGGGCGCCGTCAAGAGGCCCATAACGAGGCCTTTGCCACTGCCTGGTCCGATAGCTCCATCATACAACAACTACCTGGCTGCAGGAGGAGCAACATGTGACTATCCCACGCTGGACCCTGCGCGCGGGGACAAGTTTGCGCTGGCAAGCTCGAACCCAATGGTTGCTTTGGTCATATCAAGGAGGGAGCTCATGACTATATCCTGACGCATTACGCATACACCAAGTACCTGCGCACTCTACCGCCCAAACAAGGCAAAGAAAACAAAAAGGAATGCACAAACGCCCCCCCCGCGCGCCCCCCGGATTCTTCCTTTTCAGCCATGGAATGCGCGCTGTTTCGCTGGCTCATCGTTGGTGGGCTGGCAGCATGGCTGAAGCGCTGACCCCATGATGCAAAAAAGAGACCTTTTTTACCGCCGAGCGGGCGAGAACATCCATAGTGCGGCGTGGCACACACGCCCAGTAGCACACAACCACGAATACACGGCGCTCTCATTCGCGGTAAAACAAGTAAAAATAGAGCAGGTATACGCAAAAAGTTTGAGCAAGCATGGAGAGGGCTTGCGGTCAGGCGCAGCCTTGGCCGGGCCAATCTGCAGGTTCGAGAGGAGCAACCTGGTGACGGACCCTGGGTAACCAATTTTTGGCTTCTTCATTTCCTTTGTTCGGTGACTCGAGGCCTTTTTTTTCTTCAACAATGGGCAAAATTCAAATCAATTGCAATCAAGTCAGCCATTGGGTCCTTCCCCAGAAACATGTCAGCTGGGGGCCGATTTCAAAGCCTCGTCGTGGGATGGATGCCCCCAACAAACGCCGACGGCACGTAACATCAATTCGTTTATGGAGTAATGGAGTATAAAGGCTTCTCCGCCAATGGGCGCCTCCCGAAATAGGACCCTGTCGGAGCCTTGGTGCGAAAGCGGACCAGGCCGCCGTGTGCCTTTTCTCTCTTCATCACTGAAAACTGAACAAAGCTGGCGGGCCTCCGTTTGAAGAGTGAACGTGAGCAACCATATAGTGTAGCCTACAACGACTGGCGCAGCCTGTGTTGCTCGATTCAAATCACAAGAGGACCGAGCTATAGGGGAAATTGGACATGCTGCTCTCTACGGATACACAAACTTTGGTTGCTCTATCGATTCCGTGTCTCAATATTTCCTGTCGCTGGCCGTGAAAACAGTAACACCACCGCCGAACCGGCCGTATTATTATTTGCGACAAGACAAGAAGTTTTTCAACGAGACAAAACGGGCAAACGCAACTCAGGGTCAAGGCCGCAACCGTTTCGCACGCAGGACCGCGTGACTGGAAAAAAAATACAGGGGGGGGGTCGCGCGGGCGTGGCCCAGCGGTCCGTTTTGGTGGGCAAAGGAGAGGCCTCGGCCACGGGAGCCCGAGCCAGGCGGGAAAACGGAATGCTGTCAGTTTCTGTCGCCAGCAGAGGGCGGGCAAGTCAAGTCCATGTGATGGGCGATGGCACTTGGTGCCAGGCAGGCAACAGGGCAGGGCTGGGAGCCGAGTAGACTTTTGGGTTCACTCACTCTGGTACAGGTAGCCTTCGATTTTGGTGATGCCTACAAAGGGTTTAGCAGCTATTCAGAGAGCTAGACTAGAACTGGTAGTATGCTTTGGCCTAAAACAGCAGCACTGCCCAGAATAGTCTAGTGCGCCTCTTGATCAAAACTTATTCATGACCGCGCCCGGCTGCTCCCCGGACCACCCAAATTGCCCTCCCTTGTGCAACACCCCAGCGCCGACCGCCCCTCCAGACATGCCCAAAAGTACCGCCTCTCCAAGCGGTCCTGGCAGGGGGTGTTTTGGGCATTGTACCCCTCCCCACACCCAGGCCACACCCGCTGCCCGCGGCGGTCCCGTAGGTACCTGTGAGTGTGTGCGCTGGGAGCGAAAGAGGGGGGGCGTGGTCTTGGGTACTGGCGTACCCCCGGTTCTTGCCCGTGCTGCTGGTGCCCGTCCGCCGGCGCTTCAATAAGAGGGACGCAGGGCCCCAATGCTCACCGGTCATCTTACTCCCACGCCATGCAAACTTGATAAACCACATCGCTTCCCCAGACTTGGAACAACTTCTCCCCCTTCCTCCTCCACCAACAGCTCTCCACGCAATCGACTCTACCAACCCTCCACGACTGCTTCACTACCGCTTCACTCTCAACGCACATTCACCCGCAACCCACCTCGCAGCCCTCATCACCAACACGGCAAACCAAACGCAACAGACCGCCGTGTCCCTCGCACTCGTCACCAACGACCATTGTCACCAAGGATCCGAATGATCATCATTTCTGGCGACGACTCGAGTAGCATACTCTGAATCAACCCGCCAGCGACTCGCTCGGCACTCCGCCACGCCACTCCCGCCTTCTCCCCACCGCACATTGCTCACACTGAGCATCACGGCAACACCACGACCACGATGCCGCATAGATTAGACACGCACGTCTTGACAGTGGATGCCAACGTTATCCACAAGGTCGACACCGCCAACCCTGCCAACCTGTATAGCATGTGGACTGGTAAGCACCCGACCGGGCCTGTTTGCGCCTCGACGCCGTCGTTTACCCATGCTGACCTCCAACCCGCAGTCTTCTCCCGCTGTGCAGATTCACTCGAGCAGGGTCGCAGATTAGAAAACCTCAGCTGGAGACTCTGGCAGAGAGAGCAGCTCGTCGAGAACGAGAAGCGACAGGACGACGCCGCTGACGCCGCCGCCGACGCCGCCACCACCTCCAACACAAAGCCTCTGGCCGCCAGCTGGCGCCCTCAGGACCTTCCACAGCTTTCCGGCAGCGTCGACTCGCTTGTTGACGACGACGCCACCGAGTTTGTTTCCGAATCAGCCCCCCTCGAGATCCTCCGGCCCAGAATACGCCGCCTGGATTCCACCAGCAGCCGCGGCAGACGCGACCGCCACATCAGCTCCGACGACTTCAAACAGATGGTCGTCTCCATTGTCAACGACACTGCTCCCCTTTCCGCGCCCATCGCCACCTCACCTCTTACCATTCTCAAGAAGAGTCCGGCTCCTGCCCCGGCGCCAATGCCCACCGAGCCCATCACCACCATGGCTACCCAACCCAAGCCGGCCGCTGACACCCGTGTCCCTGCGCCCTCTGTCCCCGTTCGCGACTCGTTCCCCCAGCCCTCGCAGGCTGGCTCTGTGAACGCATCCATTCCCGAGCCGGAGGCGTCTCCCGCTCATCAGCCAGTTGCCCAGAAGAAGGCACCTGCCAAGTTTGCCCTGGGCGGATCCTGCTCTTCGAGCGAGCAGGGCACCAGCGTCGACATGTCCAAGTCCAGCCTGATGCCCCCTCCTAAGAAGACCATGTTCCAGATTGGTGGCTCCTCCGAGTCTGCCTCGACCAAGAAAAACACCCAACCCTCCAAGGCCGTCATCGGCCAGAAGATGAAGCAGGCCATCATCCCCACCAGCCGCGATGCTCAGCTCCAAGCCGAGAGCGCGATCGACTCCGATACCGAGGACGACTACGTTGACGAAAGCGCCATTGACGACGATGACGACGACTCTTCCGAGTGGGAAGATTCCGTTGAAGACAGCGGCAAATCCAGCGTCGACGACAAGTTCTTCCAGCGCATCGAGTCCAAGGCTAACCTCGTCTCCCGCCCTTCACTCATCACTCTCATGCTTGCACAGAACGAACGACAGAAGCATCTCAGCAACCAGGCCTCCCACTCTGCCTCTGCCATCCTCCGCTCACGCGCCGGACCCAGCGCCCCTACCCTGGCTGCCTCTCCCAACGATTCTGACGAAGGTCCCCTGATGATGAAGGGTATGCGACCTTCCAACCTCAAGCCCATCATTGAGGTCCCCCGGTCGAGCGCGCAGCCTATTGCGGCCCCAACCAACTACGTGCACGCTCAGGTTGCCTTGTCCGCGCGTACTACTCGTCGCAACATGCTTTCTACTGAGCTTACCGAGTCTCTCCGCCGCCATCTTCTCTGGGAGCGCCAGCAGAAGACGTCGACTGCCAATGCTGTCCTCAAGCGCCGCCACACCTCCCAGGACGTGGCCAACCTCAGGCAGTTCCCGGAGAAGCCGTGCATGAAGCAGAGCGAGGATGCCAACGCCAGCAGCTGGAACCAATACTTCAACAAGGATACCTTTGACGGGTACCACTCCAAGGGTTGGTAAATACATCAACGACGACTTAATTCGATGAAGACGCTTCAGCACTGCGACATATTTTACATACATTATTACAAAACAAGCGGTTACGACAATGGAGCGAGCATGACAGCGTCACTGATTGGCGCACTTGGCATGGCAGTGGGCATGCTTTTTTCTTATCACACATTTTTTGACACTTTGCGTGGCGTTGCTTTTTTTTTTTCCAAGATACCAAGGATTCTTGTTTTCCTCAGCCTTGATTGAGGCTGTGGGCATTCATGTTCGGCCTGTGTTTTCAACCGCCATTTACGTTCCCATGGTGGGTTTGTACTCTAGCGCGACTGGGGTTTGCGCACAAAAAAGCAAAGTGAAGAACTACTGTATATTCAAGGGCAACCTTGAAGGGCCGGTCCTCGGGGGAAGCATAATGGGAGAATCTGTCCAAAAAGCGCCTAGGGAAGAAGAGGCGAAAAAGAATCGGGAAGGTGGATAATGTGGCTTGTGACGCCATCAGGACAGAGGAGAAAATGGATGAGCCAAGACGGATGGATCGCGTGGAACAACAAAAAGCTTCCAATATTCCGGGACCGAGAAGGGACAGCCTCGAGCGTACATAAAAACCATAAATAAAACTTGACATGACTACAATGGAGTTTGGGGGGGTTGTTGCTATTGTGACTGCGGTACATGGTTTGTAGTTGAGTTGTGAATAGGATAATGGACATTGAAGAAAGGTGTTGTGGTGTTGTCGGGCGGGCGGAGGCGCTTTTCCATTGGTGGCGGCGGCCGCATGAGCAAGAAGCGGCAAGTGATGGTGTGTGGCTCGTGCTTTGCGGGGTTGTTTACGAGGAAGCGAGGAGGACAATGTAAATAACTAGACTTTTTTTGCGCGGCCGAGGCTGGCAGTACAAGCTGTGGTATGGGCGAATGGCCGACGGTCGCAAGTACCGTGGCATAGCCACAAACGTGGTTGCCTAAACGTGACGTGTGGTGTGTGTGGTGTGGGAACCTGATTTCAACCAATGAGGAGCGGCGCAATTTTGATTGCGACCTATTGCCGAAGCAAAGACCAACAAGAGAAGAAGAACCGGCCTACGGGTATTACGACGGTTATTCATGCGGGAGTAGGATGAAATTGCCGTCTCAAGGCAGAAGAAAGAAAACGCCGACGCAATGCACGCGCCGATTTGGGGGGGGGAGAAACCCATCACAAGCCACCCGTTCCAGATTAGGGCACCGAACCAAAAAAAGTCACAGGGGGTACCTGGACAAGCACGAAGCACGCGGAGAATCGGTCTCTCTTTCGGGAACTGCATCGTCATCAAGAAAAGGAAAAAATAATCGGAGATTTAAAAGAGGGAGATTTGAAGGAGTAAAACCACATGTGCGCGCCGCCACATGTCGATTTGACGCGTCCGTTGGCGGCTGCGATGCGCCGAGGTGCTGTCTTGGTTGAAGACCTGAAACTAACTTTTGCGGGGGAAAAGCGTGTACGTGAACAGAAGAAGAACGGACCGACGATGGGCGTTGGGGGGAGAGCGCACGGGCATTGGGGTACGCATGTGGTTTGCATATGGCCACGTTTTCGGCATCTCATGTGCCCTATCGTGACGATGGATGAACTGTATGAATGTATTTGATTTTTATCTAGAATTTAATCATGAATACTGTTGGGCACAGTGTAAGTAGTTACAATGGGAACGCCTGGCAACAGGCACTCTCACTCGGAGCCATAGTGGGATAAACGGTGGAATAAAGGGCCCGAAATCAACGCATCCCACCTGCTCTCCGTGCCCCAACGAAGGGAAATCCACAGACCTCGGAGCATCGATGGAGTGAAATAAAAAAGGGCTAAAATGGCAACTTGATCTAAACGATTAGATTTAAAAAAAAATAAGAATTAAAATAAAAGCGGTATTTTTACAAGATAAAACAGCCTACGATGAAAGGTGGGGAAGTGGAATCTGGGGAAGAAACCGCCTGCTTCAGTTTGTTTTACTTTGCTAGCGAGTTTATTCTCATACACCCTTTAACCCTGCGGGAGGAGGCGAGGGATACGTTGCAGGCAAAGGCGAGGTGGATTGCGATTGAGTCGGGATTGTCACGAGGACGTCTGGGGTTGTGTGTTTGTGGGCGGACTAGATAGCTCTATGGGACGCGGATGAAGCAATGCGTACATGCTCGTAGTTATTCTCGTGACATACATGACGATGCCGCAATGCGGGAAGCTATGTAGGATGACGTGAAAAACCTGCCGTCAAAACAAAAGGTAATAGCATATATGGCAATGCAGCGCAATCTGGGCATGCATGTTCGTTGACATGGCGCTCTCCAAACAGTCATGAAAACGCCGGTTCCGGAACTCGCTTCGACGAACCGGTCTTGATGCGTGCTTTAAGAATCATTTCCATCATTTCCCCCCCAGCTTCTCACATTTTCCATTCCAATCAGGAAATGGCTTAAACCGGACTTGTTGCCTGCATGCACACCCTTCTTGGCGTTGGGGTGTAGGTGTCACGCTCTCTCATGACGCAGCCAATCGATCCAGCTCGATTTGTCTGGTCTGGTGTGCAGCAGCCATTTTCGATTGGTGCTGGCTGTCCCCGGCAACTTCCCACCGCTGTTGGATGGCAAGATTCATCTTCTTGACCAGCTTAAAAAAAAAAAGTCACGAGGTGCTTTGTGCCCCGACTCGGACAGGAACAAGGAACGAACCGCCCCCGCGCCACTGAGGCATTTGTCCTTTTTTTTTTTTTGTTAAAATCTACATGCTCACGAGACGCCAATTCTGCTGAGCTGTCAAGAGGGGCGCGAACCCCACCAGAGCTTAACCAAGTTGGCGATTTCGACTCAATGCATGACGGGATGCTGCGTTGTTTAAAAAAAACGGGCATTGGCGGGGAACAGGGTCTTTTTTTTCTTCTTCTTCTTTCCTGGGTGTTTATTGAACGACGAACAGGGGGTGAGTAAGGAAATTCCGGGGAAACTTTGCAGGAAATCGGGCCTAGGTTGGCAACAACTTGCCTGCAGGAACAAATGACTTGTCGTGAATTTCTTCTTCTCTTGTAGTTAGGCTTTCTAGGCGTAACCGGACATGTTGTCTCGGTCCGTTGCCGACGGCACTGGGCAAAGGCAGTTATAACGGGCGAGAAGCGGTGTGTGGAAGCGATAGGTAGTAGTAGGGCGGTTTGGCTCGCATGAGAGTTGTGTCTGATTCGAGAAGCTCGCAGGCGGGTAGTCTGTACGACTGCGGCTGGGAGCCGTTTTTTTTTTCATTTCTTTTCTTCTTTGACAGGTTCACCGACTTTGCGGGTTGTCGGGCTTTGCGCGAGATGCATGACAGAGAACTCCGTTTTGCTGCATGGCTTTCAGTACTAGGCAGCCGGCGCTGTGACGGGAAACTAAGAAAAGAGAGAATGGAAATTGGAATAAAAATAGGAACAAAATGAATTAATGAATACTCATTTTATTTAAGCCCTATTTTTTTATTAATTCTCTATGCGTTTTCAGTACGAATGACCTGCACACACTTGACACCTTGACCCTGTGATAACATTGCAAGTCAATGTCTCCATTCCACCAATACCAATCACTATAAACCCCAAATCGGGATACAGTCGCCGAATCGACAGGACAACAATACCAGGGTCTTGCCGAAAGGCTTGTTAGCCAATTGATGTAACCTTGGGGGCGAGCTAAAAAGAATAGTTGTAAAAAAAAATCAATAAAAGAATTGATTGAGAAGTTGTTAATTTGGAGGGAACTAGGCTAGGCTCTCGTCCATGACCAATGCCAACCTAGTTAGTCAAACATGACATGGACGACGTCATTGGCAGCGCGACCAAAGAACAACAACGCCCGAAACGGCTCGTCTCTTTGCCTGCTCTCGTCTCCCGGTCCAACTTACCAACCCTCGTTTTCGGTTTGCTTCCCATGTTCATTTTGGGCGACAACGCGGCGCGGGACTGACTTTATGCCGGCCCCCAACAGTACGCGCGAGGCTTTCTGATTCTCACAGGCAAGCAACTATCCTTTTTTCTTTCTTTGCCTTTTACGGAATTATACCCGTCATCTCATTCTTTGCATGGCGAACCGGACCGCGTCGGAACAAAGTCCCGGAGGCGGGGCGGCTCAACTGAAAGGGTGGCGCGTAGCGGCTGACGCTGCCTCTTGGATGACCCGAAGTTTCTTTTTGGCGGGACGGGATTGATTGGTCGTGCGGGCTATGCGCATGACCGTCGTTGGGTAGGAAGTACGGTGTAATGAAGACGGAATATACACAAGAGGCAGCAGAACCAGGGCGGGTTCAGCTCACGGCCCCCCCGGACGGGTGCGGCGGGGTTCCGTAAGAGTACGGACACGGAATGAAATGAATCGCTCATTTGATTGAACCTCGTGGTGTTCGGCCCCCCCTTTCCGTCTCCTTGGGGGCCGGAACAACAACGCTCTCTTCCGTCAGCAATGCCCGAAAAAAGAAACCCATGATTCTAGCTGCGTTGGCAGCTTGGCGGGCTTGTTATTAGTGCCCATGTGTCGCTTGCGCCATCAAAAGATATAAGAATGATATTTCCATTTTCGTTGAACCCTGCTATTAATTCCGCTGCTATTGAGCATGTCAGGTAGCCATCGGTTACAGCCCCCCGCAGGATACGGGTAATGCCGCTTGGGCGCACTTGTCAGAATCCCTGCTCGAGTCTGTCATTGATCCTTCCTTGCCCGCAGCGAACTTGGTCGGATTAGAAAACGCGTCAATGCCATTCGTGCATTGGCGTCTCAATCAGGAACCTTTGCACAGAGTAAACAACAGTACTATATAGCAGGGCGGGGAGCAAGCATGACAGGTAGTCAAGCGGCGTTGATCACATGCCCTATATTACTACCATCATGTTACATGTCCTTGATAATTTATCTTCTTTCTACCCGAGATTTTCGCAACTACTGCACCTTTTTATTCGTCCTTTTGAAACGCCGCCCGACACGAATCATTGCCATGCGCATGACAAAGTGCACACAAGTTCCCTTGGGATTGAAATTGGTTGGTGGCGTTGACACGCGGCGGCCTGAAACGGAAGGTCCGAGGAAGGGGCGGCCATACCCCAGGAAATTCCTTCTAGAAGAACAGGCACACGTGGGGTTCGCCGCCGGCGGAAGGTTTGTCGAGTTCGAGTCATGGGGCGGCGTCGCCCATCTCAACTTGTGGCGTTTAAGAAAAAAAGAGGTGTGGTGGGAGGCAAGGCGGCGGCGGCACGTCCTGGACAGTGCGCCGCCTAATAAGAACAAAAAGCCAAGTCAAAAAAAAAGGAACAGAAAAGTCGGTCTAACCGCATCAGACTTGCCGAAAGCACGATTTATGCATCCTGAATCGGGCGATTCGCGCGGTTACACCGTGAACGGGTGACGGGCGCCGCAAAGACACGTAGCATTGCTGCGACAACGTTTCCATTTCGCGCGGTCCCTTTTTTTTTTTTCATTTTACCTCGGGGCATTTACTTGGCGCCGTGTGGATGTCGACATGTTGGCTCTCTAATAATAATAGTTGGAACTGTGAAGCCTGCGCCTCGGTCATTCTCACCCGGGAGCGTTTTGAAGTTGGGCCTCCTCTCATTTACACCAAGTCGGTGGCGGAAAGGGGGGGGGTAAAGGGTTGAGGCAGGACGGGCGCGGCAAAGTTTCAATATTCAAGAGCTAAGATGGCCCAAAAAAAAATGTCTCGGCGGAGATGAGGTGCCAATCCGGTAAGCCGCGGGGGGGGGGGAACAACGATTACTACGAATGGACATGCGCACGCACGGGCGGGAAATTTGTTGGTTGGTTGCGGATGCTCTTTGAAGGGGTGGGCGCGGCTCTCGTCGACATGGATGGTTGGTGCTCTGCAACAGTGGACCGGACGCTTATGCAAGCCCGCCCATCGGCAAGTTGGGTTGTGCCGCCGACGGGAAACAAGTCGGGGCGCAGACAAGAGGGCTTATTATTTCCTCTGGCGCGCAACGTGCGTGTCAGATTCAGCGAGCCAATGCCAGATGTGCCATGAGGGCAGCAGTAGATGCTACGTGGTCAAGAAAGCTAGGGCCAGTTTCAGGCGCACTTTTTCTGTATCTTCTTGGGGGGGGAGAAGCCGATGTTCTAGAAGTCTGTTAGACTCGGGCGGCAGCAGATGGCGGATGCGCGCCGCGGTTTGCTTCTTGCTTCTTGGCTTGTTATCGTGTCCGGGGTGCATCGGCGGTCGCTGTGGCCATTTGTCGATGGGACCGTTGACCGAGCCGGGGTGGGTGATGCCAAGTAATTTGTAGATAATAATTCAGAATAAATAAAACAATAAAACAAATAAATACAATGCTTAGAAAATATCGAATCCCTCCCCAGTAAACAAACCCCCATCGGCCGCCATGGATCACGGTTAGTGCGGGCGTTGGAACCCATGGGATCGGGGGCCCAGAACCAAGAAGCCAAGTTTGCGTAGAGGAACAGTAACGCAAGCAGCTGCCAGCAACTGTGGTGGGATTCGTGTCATGTTGGTTGTACAAATTAGTCAGTTGTGTGCTGAGGCTCAGCTTGTGTTGGCACAGGGCGAGATGCTAGTGCTGAATGGTAAGGTAGGCTTCACAAGTTGACTACTATATAACTAGTTGGTTGGTTGGTTGGGGAAGCTGGTGGGATTTCGGCTTCAAGGCAAAAGAGAATTCCGATGGGAAAAATAAAAGAAAAAGAAATCGAAAAAGAAAGAAAAAGAAAAGAGTGGATCTAGTCTTTTTATTTTTATTTTTTATTCCTCCTCTTTCTTCAATGCTACCATCAGCCATGGTGCCATTGGCTCAAATTCCACCGCGCTAAGCCCACCGGGGACAGCGTCCTGGTGACTTACCACCATTTTTTTTTCTCTTCGGTTGTATTCGCTGGTAGCCTTTTGCCTATTTGCCTTGCTCTTGTCCCTCGGTCGAGCTTTGCCGAAAAATTACCGACTCTGTGTTTTTGCGCGGCCCATATGTTCAAACGCCTCTCTCCTTGGACGCTACAATGGCTTCCGAGTCGTGTTGTGTGGCAAGGAACAATCAGAACGGGTTCGCATGTGCAAGCCCTCGACTCAGGGTCCCAACGGCGGCTGAATGTTAACCGCATGTAGAATGTCGAAAGAGGGGGGTGGGCGTCGGTGTTGGTGGGTATTCAATACATTCAATACAAGATGGAGAAAAAAAAAGGTCATTTGTTCTTGGACAATAGGTAGGACCTCTGGCGATAACTAGCCTACAGCCACGAAGTCATTTTCTTTTTTATTATTCAACTCTTCATAACCACGAGGAAATAGAAACACAGTCGTCATGGCCGCACACCTCTTACCAGCTAGATGCGACTCTAGTTACAACTATCTGGTCCATTTCAACCCAAACGCTAAGCGACTAACTAATAGTTGGTAGCCTCGCCCACAAAGTGCGGAGTGAATGTCCGCATCGCCAGGGCTAAGCTTTTTCCCCCCCTCATGCAAGGCCGACGAGTTGGCAACCGAGTTGGCAACCGAGTTGCGCAGAACAGAAAGCAAGCCTCTTTCAGGGCTGTCTGCCTTGTCCATCCAGGCCTTGTTTCATGCAGGTGGCTGGCTGGGCTGTCTGCCGCGCAACTCAATCTACTCTACAAAGGGCGTAAAAAAAAGAAACAAATATTCAAAGAAATCCCTTGGTGTGTATCTGTAAAAAAACCACGCAGAGAACAATACTTTATGCCAAAATGTCATTGGCCGCCTCACGCCTTCGGCCCTCGGCGACTCTGACAATAGGCCGTGCCCCCGGGTGTGTGTCGTTTTTTGCCTTTTTTTGCTTTGTCCTTTTCTTTTTTTCTGCCTTCTCATGTGACGAAGATGACAAGTGCGGGGGAAGAGAACGAAAACTACCACACCCATTCAACAATTTCCACACCCATCTGTGCGCGGTGGCCGCCGCGCGCGGGGAAGAAAACTCAAAAAAGTCAGAGGGCGGAAGGATGCGGAAGTATTTTCGTCCAACAATTGAATTGTGAATGGCTGGGGGTGGCTGTCAATGCATGAAAGCCTCACGGCGCAGTTGCAAGGACAACTTCCGTTGGTCATTGTGTTTCTTTATTCATCATTTATCCCAGCACTTCATGTTTGGTGGGGGATAAATTCCCTTTGCCGAGCCGGGCAAAGGAACCCTGCCTGGTGTTATTACACACAATCGCACCCCTTGCGGAAGGTCTGCAACTGCAACCTGGACAAAAAACGTAACAAATGGCAACTGGTGCCGTAACGTAGTCTTGTCCAAAACGAGCCGGGCCTGTTGCGGTGCGCGATGCGTTTCAACCGACCAGGTATCGACTCTATTAGCTCGTACGGTGCTGAATTAATAATAAAATACCAAGCAACAAGTAACTCGTATGTAATGGTTTCTCATGAGCCAAGTTGTACTAAATAAAGGCCCATTGACTAGTAACGGACGTTTGTTACGGTGTGCATGGTAGATTTGTCATTTGTCGTCATTGGCTTGGCGGCAACCGTATTGGAGGGGCGTCCAGACCGTCAAAGACTGAACTTGACGACTTCGCAGCAGCGCCGGCGTCAAGTCGATACACACACAAGTGGCTGGCGCTGGCGCTGAATCAAGAATCCTATTGAGCTGCCTACGTAGTAGTATGCCAGCTGCCCAAGAAAAAATCCAACTTGAACCCAAAAGCGTCTTCCAGATCTTCCAGACTCTCCAGTAGCTCTACCCATGACGATTGCATCCGCACCAGATGCCAGCGCTGTACAATCTGTCAAAACCCGCTACTCTGCTTCGCTAAATACTACCAGCTGGAAGAAGCAGCACTCGTATGACGACACAGAATACATTGAGCAAGGTCATTCTCACTTCTCACTGCAGTGCTTGTGGACGCCTTGCAAGTACACAGTTCGCTACCCAGTATACATGAATGAACGTGACGTACACATGTTGCGCATCGGACGAGTTAGTATACAGGAGCTTTTCGTATGTTCGGGGGTGACAGATACTGTCCTCGGTCATCATCATTATTGTCAAGTACACTACACCGAGCCATCTATATATAATCTATATATATAGCTTTTGCGGAGGATGGCCGTTTGCCGCTCCGGCTAGGTCATCATCCTATACCTGGCCAGACTATAGCTTCTCCAACGTCAATCTGGGGCCAGAATGCCTACACAAGTTAGCATATATATATATATATTGTCCAACCACCCTTTTCGGCAAGCCAACTTACTGAAGAATCAAGTTCCAGCCAGTCTGTCGTCTGCCATTCGTCCAGAAGATGCGGATCCAGGGGCAGCCCGGGTTCCGAACCAAAGGCTGGCCCATACTCCTGTACACCAGGTGCCTGCGGCGCATTCGGCCCGCCCGGCTGGGCAGGTGCGCCGTGCGGTGGCTGGGTGTTTTCTTCAGAGTCATGGCGGGAGGTAGGATAGCTTGCTGCTGCCGCTGGCTTGAACTCCTCGAGGATCACGGCGTATCGTCGGCTTGGCGAGTTTGTTGCCGTCGCGCGCGCAAGGTGCCCCTGGCAGCGCTCTGCTAACTGGAGGAGTCTAGCCCTGCCATCATCTCCCGTAGCCCTGCCCTGTCGCCGTTGCTGAATCTCCCACACGTACACAATCACCAGAGCACAAAATGTCACGTAGTGCGTCCACCAAAAGGCATGAAATATGGAACCCTCGGGCGCCATGCTGTCCACCACCTCGAGCGCAGTACGCGCTGCGTTGATGACTGCCTCCTCCTCGGCCAATGCGTCGGACGAGTTGGAGAGGAGGAACAGCCGCCCGGCGTGCATGATGGCGTGTGCATGCGCGAGCTTGATAACGGTGGCCTGGCGGCGGTAGCTGTGGATGAGTATCGAGGGAGGGACAGAGCCAAGGTGAATGGGCAAAGAGGCGTGCCATTCGTGGATGCGCTGGATGTGGCGGCGGGCTGCTGATGCACGGTCGGGTTCGGGCATCTCTTTTATGGTGTATACCTCTCTGGATATTGACCCAAGGATTTGAGCAATTCTATTTAGAGTCAGCTTAATGAGCGGAGGATCTGGGATACGGCATACTTGGCATGGAAGATTAAAGCATCAACGTGACAGCTCATTGGGGTATGCGGCGTGTCGGAGGGCCCAAGCGCCGTCATGTCGTCATCATTAGCACGATCCGGAAACTCCTGGTCAATGTCCTCGTCGTGGAAATGCCGTGGACGCCCAAAAACAACGCCGAGATAATTGTCGAGGATGTACGCTGTCCAGAATGTGCGCAACCGACCTTGTCTCTGCACGTAATCCGTCGTGGATTTTCCTCTCCGCTTGGAGTTTGCTTCTCGATGCAAGCCAATCGTGGATATGATTTGCAAGGCATTTCCAAACACGTACCAGCTCTTATTGAAACGCGACGTGGTAAGTAGATAGAGAACCTGGAGGATACGAGCCTGGGCTGACTCAAGCGTGGGGTAGCCCTGCTCCGTCTCGGCGAGCCGCAACGAGGTGCAGAAGAACTCGTCGCTGAGGGTGGGGGATGTCGACGAAGCGTCGGTGGAAGCTCTTTCATTTGACTTGGCGTCGTGCTCTGTGGCGATTGCTAGAACTGTAAGGACGATTGAGGCTCGCGCTCGTCCAACTTCATGCCAGACTGGTCTGCCCTGGTCGTTGCTGCACTCGAGAATGGTAAGCCATTTCTCAACAGCGGGACGGTGGAGGATGCGATATGTGGCGATGCAGACATCAAAGTAGAGGTCCAGCAATCGGCGACTCTCGTCAGGACTGGGCAGCCGGATGGCTCGCTGCTCGTGCAGCTCAGGCAGGGGTCTATCACCTGCCATGGACAGCGGCTGATCCTCTGCCGATGTCCCGACGGCGTCGGGAATCTTGCGTGCAGTCTCGTCTGACAGCCTCTTCCATGCGCGATGTAAAAACGTCATTCCGGACGTCGGGTCAAACACCTGACCTTGGATCTCTGCCATGCCCAGCTCCGGCGACGCCCTGGAGGGGGCTCCACTCTGATGAAGTGCACCATCACTTGTCTCTCGAATCTGAGCCTGGACATGATTATCTGTCCAAGACAAATAGCCTCGATCTTGCCGAGTAGGAGCCTGGCGAGAAGATGCCACGGCCGAGGCCGGAGGTGTAGGCGGCCGCCCCCTGGTGTACTTTGCGGTATAGAGACATGTTCGGCGCTTGGCGATGCATTTTGAGCAGGGCTGGTTACCGCTGCACTTGGCCTTGCGGATTTTGCAAAAGTCACACGCACGGCTGACTTTGCGAACCTTGGATGGAGTACTGGCAGTGGCTGTTATGGAAAGGTCGTGCGAGGACGGGGAGATGCTGTTGTCCGCAGCCGACGTGTCGAAGCTACGACGACGGCGAGGCGTTGCTACTGAGCTGGACCGAGTACGATCCGCAGCTGCAGGGCGACGGCGGGTGTCTCTGCGGCTGGCCCGTCTTTGCATGGCTAGCTGGGTGACATTGGATGCGCCATGCGTGGTTGGAGATGTCTGCCGTACATGAGCGGCAGATGGCGGATAAAAGGTCGAGGGTATTGATGAATGATGCGGAAAAAAACGTTGGGCGACGGGTTTGTATCCGCTATTTGCGCGGAAATCCGCCAGCGGAAGCTCGAGTCCAGGGCCAAACAAGCCCACAAACCCACTGTAGGCCACTGTAGGCCACTGTAACGGTCAGGGCGGGGGCATGCAAATCCCAGCTCCACGTTGAGGGACTTGTGAGCTACCCTACAACAACGCCTACAGACGAATCCAGGGCGACGATGCGTCAAGACGTGTTAAAGACGTTGACGACCGTCACTGAGCCTCGCCGCGATGAAATGACCGAATCATCACTGACGCATAGTAGTATGCTGGGCAGTGCATAGCTTGGCGTTGACGAACTGATCATTCAGGGGTCTTGACAGTGGGAAGGAGAACCGAAGAGCGAGAAGACGGCGGGCTAAGAGTCAAAGACACTTCCTGGATTCTACTCAAATATGCCGCTCAAAACCCTGGCAATAGTCATGTTCATGGTGCTCAACAGATAAAATCGCCTCCGGGTAAGCCCACGACCTTGTTGAGTATCCATTTAACCTCATCAACAACCTCCTCCTGATCCGCCTCCGCGTCTACCGGCAGAACATCCATCTCATCCTGACCGGCCGCCTCATACACCTCCAGCTGACCATCCACCATCTGCGCTCCCATGTAATGACCCTTTCTGGCCTCCATCCTCTTCACCAACACATCCCTACCGGCCTGTAGATCCACGAACACGGCTCGTACCCCGTCTCGGCCCAGCGTCTCTCGAATGTGCGCACGATACGACGCCTTGAGCGCCGAGCAGCTCACGACGACCGCCGAGTAGTCAAGCTCACATACCGTCTCGCGCGCGTGTGAACAGACACGGCCGAGCCAACCCTTGCGGTCATTGTCTGAGAGTGCTGTGTGAGCGCGCATCATATCGACAGCGGCGCGCGTGTGGAGAGCATCGCCCTCGACAAAGGGCACGCCTAGCCAACTGGCGATGCTGGCACCGGCCGTCGTCTTGCCGCTTCCGCAGGGTCCCGCCATGAAAACGGCTGTCTTGACAGCCTTTTGCTCCTCGGCCTCTGAGCCCCAGCAGTTGTCGAGGAAATACCGGACAAACAGCTTCACAAAGCCGGGCTCGAGGACGGGAGCGTTTGCCAGTGCTGGCGCCAGCGACCTTGCCACATCTGTAGCAAAAGTCTTTGACGGCGCGGATTCACCTGTATCGTACTTTGAGGCAAAGAAGTCGACGAGCTTGATGGGCGGGTTCGCTTTGGGATCCGGGTTTGACGCGCGCAGTCGGGACACCCACTCCTTGGGCCCAACTTCATCGAACTGCAGACCAGCCAAGCGCAGCGCCGGAAGCAGGTCGTCGGTCCAGCTAAAGGTCTTGTGGTGCGTGATGTTGGCGAAATCACATTTCTTGTCTGACAGCGACATGTCCACTACCGCCTCGGCAACCGTGTCGACAGGCAGCCACGAAGGCGTCTCCGCAAGCCGTGGCAAGGCACCCACCGTCACGGCTGTCTGCATCATCATCGGCACGGCCTCCTGCGCGTTCCATACACCGTGCTTTGTGTCGCCGACAATCTGTCCGACCCGAAGCACCCTCGCTGGGATCCCTGCGGCGGCCGCGCGAGCGCAGACATGCTCGGCCACCGACTTGGACTGCGCATAGCCCATTCCCTGCGCCCACGCGAGATCCGGCAAAGACTCGGGCACGGGGCTCTGCGTCGCGCGGCTGCACGAGCTGACCGAGGAGCAAAAGTTCATAGAGGCCCTGGTGGGCGACGCCTTGACGAGCGCGAGCAGGTGGTTCACGCCGGCAATGTCGCCCTTTTCGAAACTGGAGAGGTGCATGTTGAAGTTGACGGACCAGGCGCAGTGGATGATGCAGCGGAGGTCTTGGGCGACGGCTTGGTAGTCTTGGGCAGAGAGGCCGAGTTTGGGATCTGACAGGTCGCAGGGAAGCGCGACAATCTTGTGTCGGGAGGTTAGGGAGAGGGAATGATAGAGGCAACGTTGGATGAGAGATTCCTTGACGCGGATGAGTGCCTGCGACTTGGTGGGTGCGCGGACAAGGCAGAAGATGGTAGTTATCTCGGGATTGGAAGCGAGCGTGGTAACGACGTGTGCTCCGAGTGAACCAGTGGCGCCAGTAACGACCTGGAAGCATTAGTTGGGTGCTTATTACGTGTAGACAGGCAAAGTGAAGCTTACAACTGAAGACGCTGGAGTCGCACCAATATCCCCATACTTGTCAATCAGCGCCTGCATCTCCGTCTCAACCGCCGTGGATGCCGCGTCCTCTCCCCTCCGCAGACTATCCAGGAATTTAGCCAGCTTGTCAATCGAAGGGTTCTCAAACACGACGTTCTGACCCAGCTTCCCGCCAAGTTCCACAGTTCTGAGGATCTCGCTGCGCAGCTGGATAGCTTGTAGCGAGTCGAGACCTAGCAGGAAGAAATCCGTGTCGTCCTCAAACTTGGTCTGGTCCGATGTGGTGCTTGACAGAAGCCCGTGGAGAAATTGTCGCATCTGGGCAAGCTCAAGCGTCTTCAGCTCCCCTGTGCCAACGTCTTGCGCGTCATAGGTCTCGTCAATCTCGGCTTTGAAGGCTTTGCAGAAGGCCTGGCGGATGATGCTGCCCTTGTCGGTCCGGGGGTACGAGCAATCCGTCGGCAGCAGCCGGACCATGTTCTTGGAAATGCGACCAAAGGAATCGACAGACTTGTTAGCTTGGTCAATCGTCGGCCAGACAGCCTCGAGGATTTCCTCGTTCGACTTGCCAGCAAGTCTGGGCGCAGGTACAACAAGCACACCGAGGTTGGGGCGTCCGGCGCCAAAGACGACAGCCTCGGCGACGTTGCGGTCGGATCGTATCTGGCCCTCCATCGCGACCGGGTTGAGCTTTTCACCATTAACAAGTACCAGTGTGTCGTCCAAGCGAGCAATGTACTTCCAGGCCTTGGTAATGGTCGGATGCGGCTCGAAGAGGTCCCTCGTCGCATAGGAGCCGTCAGGCCGGTTTGACTGGACCTTGGCGGGCCAACCGTCGCGGACGATGCATTCGAACAGGTTGTTTCCCTGTGGCACCCAGCGCAGGAAGGGCGACAGCTTCTCGCTCTCGCGGACGTAGTTCCAGTCTTTATCGCCGGGAGGACGGAAAGACGTCATGAGCTGACCGACCTCGGTACTGCGAGTGTTAGCTTTATATACATCTACACGTTTGCCGGGGAGACTGAATGACGTACGCTCCGTAGTGGCCGACGAGATTGACGCCATGGTTCACCAGCATGTTGCCCAGGTCGTCGGGGCACGCGGATCCGCCGTACATGACAATCTTGAGCATTTGCAGCAGCTGGATACCCTCTTCCGATTCAGAGAGCAGCTTAAGCGCGTAGGGCACGCCGTAGAATATCTCAAACGTGTACTTGCGCATGATGCGCACCAGGTAGTCCTGCGTCAGTGGCAGGTCGGCGTTGTAGAGGTAGATGGGCTTGAGGCACCAGATGGCGCGGAATAAGTTGCAAATGCCGTGGTTGTGGAAGAGGGGTAGGGTGATGAAGGCTTTCATCTCCATGCTTGTGGCGTAGTTGGCCAGGCACGCTTTCTGGGATTGGTAGATGGGCTTGGGGAGGCCAGTCGAGCCTGACGGTATTAGTTACTGGGACACAGCATCCTGAGGGGTGAACCTTCTTACCACTGGAGTGAATGATGAAAGCGATGTTGTCCTTTTCGACTTCGGGATTAAGATGGCTGTCTAGACGAGTATTTCCGTGGGCATCGATAGGAAACTCAAAGACATCACGCTTGGGAATCTCCATGACCTGCACAGCAGGCATGCTCCGCCGGACCTGTCCTGCCAGCTCGATATACCGAGCATCGGCAAGGATGGTCAGAGAGCCAGTGACGTTCAATATCGACTCAATAGCAGGTTGCGGTATCCGAGTCGACAGCAGCAGCGCCGAATGTCCGAGCTTGATAATGGCCAGTTTGGTGATGAGGTACTCTAGGTTGGAGGGCCCTAGCAAAGCCACGACGGCCGGTTTCTCATCTGACGAAGATCTAACGGGCAGGCGCGACTCAAAGTGCTTCGAAACGCGCCACGCAAAGACGTCGAGCTGCTGGATGGTGTAATCCACAAACTCGATACCGGAGGACGGGTATGAGACCACATGAGCGTCCGGGTGCATGCGTGCTCGCTGGCGGATAAGCCCATCGACCGTACGCAACGACAAGTTATCGTCGTCGTTGGCATCGGTCTCTGTGCTGATTATGGAGGATTGGGTGCGAGGGACGGGTTTGATGCCATTGGATGTCAAGCTGTCAGGCGCGCTGTGGAGGACGAGCGCGGCAGGCATCTTGGGCAATTGGTACGGGACTTGCGATATCTCCAAAAGATTCCCAACAGCCCGGGCAATAGTTTTTGGTAAATTGTAAGAAGATATAGTGTGTTAAGAAGATGTAGTGTGTTAAGAATACCAGGCTGTTATAAAGCCGACCACCAGGCGGAGTTTCCGGAGGCTGATGCCGTGGTCGGAGCGACGATCGGTGGTTGATCAGCCGGCGACCGGAAAACGAGACACGGAAGGAGTTACGGATTTGATGTGACGGAAATGGCGATGAACGCACTTTTTCGAGGTCACGGCATCTTGCGACCATGATTAAAGGAGTTGACGGGACGGGTCGGCGGAGACCGGGGCTTAAAGGTTGGGGCAGGATTCTTTTCCGGCCGCAAGCGTTCACTGTGCTTCCTAGCGGATAAGCATCAGGAGACCTAATCTTTTCAACGAAATTGTGCCACCAAATTCACCGGTTTGTAATGACGCAAGTAATCCGTCGGATATATATCCTTCCCGATACTGAATCGTAGAACCGGCGCGCCGTTGTTCCCCAGTTCTCCATTTCCCCAGAAACGCCACATCAACGAGTGATCAAGGTATTATCTTGGCAAGCCCTTTATGGAAATGGGATTTTCCAAGGTTACTTATAGAGTCCCATCTCCAGATGAACTGTTGTTTACCCCACGCTTCCCCGGACTTTTTATCTCACTAGTTACGACTGACTCCTCTGGAAGAAAAAGTTGCTGCACAACATGGCCAACTCCACGGCCGATAAGCCTGACATGATCATGATTGATGAATGCGAGAGAGTCGCGGGTGATGCTGAAAAGGGGCCCCAAATCCATGTCATTGACACCATTCGGGTGCTGGGCTTGAGTGACGAGGAAGCCGACTTTTACAACAGTGTGACGCCAGAGATGCGCCAAAAAATCATACGCAAGGTACGTCTTGAAGCCTATACAATAAAATATGTTTGGGGCCCCCTTCTAACCAACACAGGTTGATGTCCGCCTTGTGCCCATGCTAGCCATTCTTTACCTCATGTCCCATCTCGACCGCGCCAACATTGGCAACGCCAAGATCGAGGGCCTGACCACGGACCTCAAGCTCGGCAACCTGCAGTACAACATCATCCTGTCCCTCTTCTTCATCCCCTACATCCTCCTCGAGATCCCGAGCAACATCCTGCTCAAGCGCTTCCGCCGCCCCTCGTACTACATTGGCATGCTCGTCACCGTCTGGGGCGTCATCATGGCACTGCACGGCGTCGTGGACAACTTTGCCGGGCTGCTCGTCGTCCGCCTCCTGCTCGGCGTCTTCGAGGCCGGCTTCTACCCCGGTGCCGTCTACCTCTGCACGTTTTGGTACATGCCGCGGCAGCTGGCCACGCGCATCGCCTGCTTCTACAGCACGAGTGCGCTGTCGGGCGCGTTTTCGGGGCTGCTGGCCGCGGGCATCGCGCAGATGCACGGCGTGGGCGGCTACGAGGGCTGGCGCTGGATCTTCATCCTCGAAGGGCTCGCCACGGTCGTCCTCGGCGTCTGCTGCTTCTTTTTCCTCATCGACTCGCCGTCGTTGTCGGGCCGGTGGCTCGGCCCGGAGGAGATGCGCTTCCTCGAGCTGCAGCACTTCATCAAGCAAGGCGGTCGATTCAGCGACGAGGAAAGCGAAAGCAAGTTTAACTGGCATGACCTCAAAATGGTTGTCACCAACAGGCGCCTCTACTTGCAGGCGTACATCCTGCTGTGCATCTCGGCTTGTTCGTACGGCACCAAGTTTACCCTGCCTTCCATCGTCAAGGGCATGGGCTTCACCAAGACCACTGCGCAGCTCATGACTGCGCCAGCCTACGTCGCAGGTGCGGTCTCGGCCATCTTCTTCGCCCGGCTGTCCGATCATTTCAACTGGCGCATGCCCTTTGTGGTCATGCCTCTCGGCCTCATCACCATTGGCTACGCCGTCATCATGTCTTTCCAAGGAAACCTGACCGGTAGCCACGTCGGGCCCGGTTACTTTGCCCTTGTGCTGACCTGCATGGGCATATACCCCGTCCAGCCGGCCGGCAGCAGCTGGGCGGCCAACAACCTCGCGCCGTCTAACCGCCGTGCTATTGGCGTGGCGTTCAACATTTGCGTCGGCAATCTCGGTGGCATCGTGGGCAGCTACATGTACCTTGACCGCGAGGCACCGACCTACGAGACGGGGTTTGGCTTGTCGTTGGCCTTTGGTGCCAGTGGGATGCTCGTGGCCGTGCTTCTAGAGCTTAGCTACATCTGGGCCAACAAGCGTAGGGAGAGTCTCGATAACGAGCAAGTAAGGGCGCAATATTCAGAGGACGAGCTCATCAAGTTGGGAGACAAGAGTCCGCTCTTCAAGTACGTTCTGTAGGAAATAAATGAAAGTCGAGGAGAAAAATAGTGCACTTGAACATGATTTCCACGAATGGCTGAAATAACTGTAGGACTGACCCTGGACTACGCAGGTATCGGGCTCTTGGCTACGCCTTCTCACATACCCAGACACCAGAGTGTGCTGTTGTTCTTGATTTGTCTCACTCTATTAAACAGGAGGTGCGAAATGCAGTATACTGGAGGCGCGAAATGCCTGGCAACTACATATATTCACCGTCAGACGACGCGTTTTCCTTTGTATAGCCATGTTGTCTCAAACGTCACTCTTCGCAATGGGTCTACAAGTGACAAGTACCAAATTGTATTGATGACGCATTAATTATACATTATATGTATGTTGTCTCGTCATGCTACCCTCAACCCCGTCATTCCATCCTCACTCAAAGCTTGGGGACCTCGACACGGAAGGACTTGTCCGCGACATTACCTGCGGCAAGCTCGTCGTCGTTATAGGCGGGGTAGGCAATCAGGTTCTTGATGTGGTCACGGACGGAAAAGGTGGTGAAGCCGACGGCGAACTGACCCGACCAACCGCTAGTGATGGTATAGTCGCCGCATCGGGAGGGGCCGCCGTTGGAGCGCGAGGCGGGCTGGCCGTTGCCAGCGTTGACGACGTAAGTGCAAGCCGTGGGCTCCGTCAGCTGGTTGTTAATAGCAAAGCTCCAGGTGCACGACGAGTCTTGGCTATCGCAGTCACGGGACAGGTTCTGGATGATCCAGTCGGCCTCACGGGCCTCGAGGGGTGCGGCCGAGACGGTGGCAGCGACGGCCACGGCGAAGAGAGTCTTGGAGAACTGCATCTTGATGGGGGGTTTGCTGTTGGTGGATTGTTTTGTTGTTGATGGATGGTCTTGCTGTTGATGGACTGTCTTGCCGTTGATGGACTGTCCTGATGTAGAATGTATAGTGTTGATGGGGATTATGTGTTGATGATGGGGGCAAAGTGTATGAGATGAGAGGGTTGATTGTTTGTGATGCTGCAAGCTGCTTGATAAGAAATTGTATGATGAGAAGAATGCAAGAGTGTGTGAGGGGGAAAGGCTTGATTGCTTGGGATGCTGGATTTAAAAGGACTGTCATGTCGGGAGGTCGTGCCTTCTTATACTTGGGTCGGGTTGGAACCTACCTGCCCTTCCAAGGGACGTCAAGTCCAATATAGTGACGTTGCGGCTTTCGGGTCAAGCCTGCGCCTCAATTTAACGAGAATAGTATCCGGACCCTCAAATCAGCCGAAGCTGAGGTTCTTTGATCGACACCTTCGTATCCCGATCTTCCGAGGCAGGCTGGGGAAGGTGGACACCTGCAGTTGACTTGCTTCAACAACTGCAAAAGCATGGCGGCCCGATGCCGTACCCATCACCTAGAAAGGAACTCATAGACTCACTTCCTCTTCATCTTCGTGTCCTTCATTTGAAAGGGCCATCGGGTGTTTGCTTTTCTTTTTCTCCGGGGCTTCTCGAATCGTCAACTTGTTTCTGTGGCGGCCGGGTAAGGCTGCGGTTAGCGGAAACCTAACCATTTGTTGCTGCATCCACATGACGTAGCCCAATGGTGAGATTTCTTGGAGACTAAGAATAAGCAGTTCGTATTCTAAAGATAGTAGCGTAGATCGGGGTCTAAACAGGCTTGGCCCCCAGTGTTTTCTTGAGCTGTCGGTGACTGATATTTCCGCAAGGCAGAGATGCGGGCGGCCCCATCGGGCTCTGCTCGGTCAGCGGAAGCCGCACATATTGACAATGCATGCACGGTCCTTGAAATAGAGAAGAAGAAACTGTTGCCCCGGCATTACGAATAGTCAATGTTGCCGGATCCGCGGTTGCTGCTTCTTGGCGGATGGCCCGGTGCCACCGGCCGCTGACAGCATACACTTTGACTGCCTGTGGGTGTGCAATGCATCCAATATTGACAACCGACTCGTACAACGTCTTGGGGATCAATGCTCCGCCGAGGAATATCGCCCCGGATGTTGAAGAAGCCGCTCGAGCTACGACTTTGAACCGCTGTGGTCCGGTCACGTTCACATCTTCCTCAATGATCTGCACTGGCAACAGAGTGCATTGCTGGCTATCAGGCTGGGCATAAACTGGTCTTTACGACTTGCTGGCACCAGGCTGCGTCCCGATCCGCTTATACTTGCGCGGATCTTTCCTGCTCATCATCTGCTGGTCCCTCGTCCCCTTGCCACCCTCCCAGAAGCCCGTGCCCCTCTTCCCAACCACCCCGCGGCCGCAAAACCTGCACTCGTCCACCGCGTAGTGCTGCTCCCGGCTGCACCAGCCGCAAATCATGCGGTTGGCCCACTCGTTGGCGTGGTCCTCGGCCTCTTCGTGGCACCGGTCGCAGGCGTACACCTTGTGGCAGCACGAGAAGCGGAACCACCGGTACGACTTGCGGTAGTGCACGCACGCACCGCGGCGCGGCAGCGGCTCCCCCGCGTGCAGGCCGAGCTTCTCCGTCTTGCGCTTCGGGCCCGACGTGGGCGGCGGCAGCGTGCCGGGCGTGATGAAGAGGAACTTGACGTCGGGGAGTGCAAAGGTGAATTTGGCGTGGCACTCGCGGCACACGTTTGTCACCGTCTCGCCACGGACCGAGACGAGGCCGTGACCGGGCGTCGAGCAGCGCTCGCATGTCGGGATAAATGTACTCGGTAACATGTCGGCCACCTTGCACCCAGACAGGTCGATGAAGCCAGCCCGGGACGAATGCGCGTGGACGTATTGGGGATTGTACTTGGCAGAGAATGTAGTGGCACACTTTTTGCAGCTTCCGGCCTTTTCGGTACCCGGCTTGATTCCAGTCAAGTCGTTCAGCGTGCGGCAGCGGTCGCACTTGATGGTCAGGCTGAGGAGCGAGACCTGTAGAAGCTCGAGACCATGAAGCTCGATAGACGGGAAAGAAATCATGGTTCCATGCTCGGGCGCATCTAAGACGGAAATAGATAATCTCTCTTCATTTTTTTCTAGCTCGACGCCACCATCGTCCGAACTGCTGGTTCCCTCCTCTTCCTCTGAGCTCCCGCTGTCGTTTCCGATGCTCCACTCGAGGGGTCGTTGGATGTACTGGATATGACTCTTTTCAGTGTCAAATTCGCCAACAGGACCATGATCCTTTGCCGCCTCCGGCTCGTCCCCTAGCGGCTGGGGCATCTCAGCCTTGACCGCATTCAGCTGCGCCATCTTGGCCAGGAGGTGAAGGTTCTGTGCAAGGTAGTTGACATGGCCCATTAGGTTCATCTGTTTCTGGCCTGCCGCCCTCTGCACAAATAAATCCTCGACAGGCTCCGCGTCCTCGGCGTCGGCTTCGTTGAGCTGTACTCGGATATCCTGCAGCGGGTAGAGCAGGGGGACAATGAGGTGAATGTTGTTGACCGAGCGGAGACCTTCGGGCAAAGCCGCCCTCTTTTTCGGCTCCAAGGGCAGAGTAAACACAACGCCATCTGCAGAGCGCCGATATAGAGGGAGTCTCCCCATGCGCGCCTCGAGCTGGCGCACCTCTTGCGCTCGTCGTTCCTTGGCAACCGCAATTTCTTCCCGAGAGTGCTTCTTCTCTGGGACATAAGGTCTCGGTGTTGGAGGTTTGGAAACGGCGATTGGTTGTGCCGCTGACTTTGCCACGGCCGCGGGTTTTTGCGCATCCAACGGCACTTGCTGAAGATGCCTCGTATCCTTGAACGTGACCAGTTTGATGGTGTCGACCTTTTGCTCAGACAAGAAAATTTCCAGATTCTTGTCCAAAGCCTTGAGCAGTGATAGCAAAGTAGAACCTTTTCGGTCCTCCACAAGCTTATCCCAGCCCTTTTCAACGTTGATGCTGAAGCCTCTGGGAATATCCTTGTTGGTGACGCGCAGCAGCGGTCGCTTGGCGGGGTAGCCCTTGGGCACAAGCAGATCGCACTGCAACTGCGCCAGCTCAAAGGGAAAATCCGGGTCCGACGGGCTCATTCTAAACGCCAGAGATGTGCTGCCGTCTGGGTTGGTGGTTTCTTTGGGGGAGTAGCGCTTCCGGACCTGGCCGAGCTGGTAGCCGCGAGGATCTTCCAGCTGGGCCTTGGGCACCGGCTTGGCAACCACTCGGGAGCTCGCGGGCTCGGCGACGGCCTGTTGCCGAGTCGTCGGAGCGCCATTGTCTTTTTGATGTAGAGGCAGCATTGTCTGTTGATGCTGATTAATGGCGAGAGAAGTGTTGTTGAACAGGTTAGAGGTGGGTTGACAAAAAGCGGGTTGGAAAGAAAAGCCTAGCCCAAACGCCGTAACGAGTTGTTAGCCAAATGCAGTCACAGTGCAGAAACAAAAACCTGAAAGAAACTGAATGGCAGTGGGAGGAAAAACTTGGGAGTGAAGATGTGTTCTGTTCCCAGAGTTTATCTTGAATTCTTGTACATACTGCCAGAAGCTGAAATTTGGAGCTCTGGCTGTGACTCAGTCAAACGGTACATCGGGACAGGTGGATACAGTGGGTTGTGGGCGAGGGTTGAAGGTACTGCCAGGGCCAAAAAGCTGTGACTGAGTCACTGATTTTTGCACGATGTATGGCTCACAGCCAGAGGCCGTTTTTTAGTCAAAGAGGCACCTACTTGTAGCCTCTGACTGGCTGAAATATGAAAGTTACGTCGATTATGTCGAGTTATACCTGATTTAGAGAACTGAGTCACAGTTTCGTAACTCAGCATCTGGGCATAGCTACCTATGTAGGTAGGCTACGGGCCTCCGGTTGAGATATTATCTTCCATATTTTTTTATCTTTTTTTCTTACTATTGATTAACTTTCTAATTTTGTTTATTTTCTGGTCTCTCTTATCTTTTCAAAAATAAAAAACACCTTCCTCTTTACTAATAAGCTCATTAATAGAGGGTACGATACTTATCTGCCTTTTGGTATGTACCTAGGTACACTTTAACGTGGTGGCACAGCCACCCACTATCTTAGCACAGGATCAACCACAGTATTACATACGTGTGTGCAAGTCAGTGCTCAGTAATAGGTACTGAAATTATAAGCAAGGCCTGCGGCGGCTGTAGAAAAGGCGACGGCACGATTCTTGTAAACATTGTTGCCATGTTCTTGTATCAGGTACAGAGCATATGCATGTATCAGATAATCAGTATTATATACATACATATCAACTCGACTCCGAGGTCCCTCCAAATTACTTATTATTCAGTAGCGCACTTAACCGTTTGCCTGCCTCCGTGTCCCCACAAGACCTATCACGGCAAGCAAGGCGAGCTTCGCTTCCCTTACACACCACAGCCCATGACCAACAACAACAGAATAGAAGAGCTTAAGAGGCTCTCGCGGGCTGCAGCTCTACGAGCCGAGGAGGAAAAGCGGCAAACTGACGAGGCAAACCGGCAAGCTGACGAGGCAAACCGGCAAGCTGACGAGGCAAACCGGCAAGCTGACGAGGCAAACCGGCAAGCTGACGAGGCAAAGCGGCGGGCTGATGAATTGATGGACCAAACTAGGCCGACAAATTTGCAGGAATACATTGATGCTTGTCACCACCTCGTCTTTTCCCAACTGGCATTCGAAACCGACAAATCACTCACGTCAAAAGGCACCGTCACCGACCCGACCAACAAGTACTGCCCTACGAGCCTCAAGCCATGGCCTGACCTTGTCGAAGACCAGAGGATAATATATGACAAGCTTCAAAGTGCTATCCTGGCCATTGCACCCTCTTTTGAAACTCGGATTTTCTTGTCCACACTAGGCGAGAGGGTCTCGAAGCATCGTATCGCAAACGAAAGATTTCTCCAACGTTTTCTTCAAAGTGCTGTCGAGTATCCCGTCGAGATGATTCTCAAACGACTGACAGAGGTGGAACAAGTCAGGAGTATGTACGATATGGGCGATGGTGTCGTATTTCAATACCACCTTCTCGCGTCGAGCGACAACTCACGAGAAGTTTCTGAGGCCGAGAGTCAGTCAGCCCCGCGAACTCCTCACTTGGACCCAGTATCCGACCAGTCCCGGCCCAACCAGACTTATATGTATCGCTCCGATGGGGATCCTACGGCAATGCCCAACATGGTCTACGTCTGCGAAAATACAGCACCGCACAAGCTTACAGCGGCGCACCTACGTGCTGGCTTACAACCAATGAATATCCACAGAGACGTTGTCAATCGCACAACAATCCCGACGGATGCCGATCCAAACGAGCACTTTCAGTACGATGCCGAGAGACTAACCGCCGCTGCCCTCACTCACGTCTATCATTTTATGATTCATATCGGCCTTGAGTATGGCCTGCTGACGACGGGCGAGGCAACAGTCTTCCTCAAGGTGGACTGGAGCGCGCCTAGCACCCTCTACTACCACCTGGTCGAGTTCAACTCCGAGGTTGCTGCCCATCCGGACAGCTTCCACTTTCGCACGGCCGTCGGACAGCTCCTGACCTTTACGCTGTTGGCTCTTGGGCGGCCGGGCGCGCGCCGTGTCCACGGCCAAGACGAGCGCGACATGGTCAAGGCTGATCTAAAGACTTGGGACCAATGATTTCGAGACGACGCTGCGCTTTATTCCACAAGAAGCGCGATACGCGCCGCGCGACTCGCCTTGCAAGCCAACGACATACAATGAGCTTTCCACTGGTGTGAATGTGATTCCGTCGTCTGACTAGTGTGCTTGCAGTTCCGAATTCCGAACGCTTTGCGCCTGGCAAATTTGAAATAATGGTTCAGCGTTCATCAAAGAAGCAAGAGCACCCAAAAGGAATTTGTAGCATCAAATCAGATAGTAGCTAAGCATGGAAGTTCAAGATGGATATCCCGTAATGTGAGTGCTTAAAAGTGGAATGATGTCTGTAGTCAACACCAGTTTAAAACGGTGCCGCTGCCGCTTATTGTGGCGCCATTGGTGATTGATTCGGCGAGATGGCTTGTGACACCATGGGGGCCGGCAATACCGGACGAACAGCCATATAAAATATCGTGGATATTATAATTAAAAAAAGTTAGCAACAAAAAAAATGCTTTCTTCAAAAAGCTGTAATATTTTCACTAATACTACGCCACGGTACTTGCCGCAAGCAACAATACCACGCAGACGAAGCAACACGAACCTGTCGAGCTCAGGTGAGCATAGACGTGGCCGTCTACGTGTACGATTTTCAGCCCAATATGAAGAGACCAAGTCCAGAACTGGCAAAAAGACCAAACTTCCATACAGCCCTAGTGACTGTCCAACTGCCACGTCAAGCGTCAGGTTGGCCCGCGGGCTTGGTGCGGAGCCGCGCCGTGATCACGGCCACCGATGTAGTGGCCACCGGGGTCCGGCCCTTGCATGGTCATGGCATCACAACCCTCTTTGCCTTTTGTCTTGGCCGGTAACTAGAGGGCGTGTTTTATTTCACAAACTAGAAAAGAAAAAGAAAAAAATTGGCCAACGCCAACGTTTCCCGCTCCCTCGTGCGTTTTGCGTCCGAATGATGAGGGGGGGGGGGGGGGGCGTGGTTTGTGTGTGGCCCAAGAATCGAAGCTCAAGGCCGCCCATCGGGTCGCCAGCGGCAAGCCCCCCCCTCCAAGGCAAAAATAGCCTCGCAGGTGGCTTGGTGTTCGATGGAGGTCTAGTATCCCGCCCGCGTTTTGTTGACGCCGTCATGACAAGTTTTTGCGGCGCAGGCACGGATGTTCCTGTAAAAGCAGCGCTCGGCTCTGAGCGGCCAAACGACGTGTTTGGCCGTCCGAGCCACACGGCAGGAATTCTCAGCGCCCGAATGCGTAGCTCGGTGCTAAAAACAGCCGTGACCTGGAAAAACGCAGAGCAAAAAAAAAAAACATTAACAAGAAAAAAAGCCTCCGAGGAGGGCGAGGGGGGGCATGCCAGCTCAGCAAATGGAAGGCAGATGACCTGCGATTATATGCAGGCGCGAATAAGCGTGGTCTCTTGCTCGCACACCGCCCCCTCCGCCCGTGTTCCCCTGCATCTAGTATTTTTTTACAAAAATAAAAAAAATATCAAAGATTAATGGTTCAATTGTTAAATATTTACTAGATTATTTATTTTCTTTTCAAGTATTTCTCTAGGTGTTGTTTTCTCCCTACATCGCCTGATGGCCCCCGATGTTGTCTAAGACATGCGGCGGCCGGGAAGTCGCCCGGCCAAGGCTCACCGACAGCGAGGACGATGATGGCTGAGTGTAGTCTTCTCAAACTTCATCGAGAAATCAAGAGAACCCGGACCAAGGAAGGCGAGGGGCAGGGACTCTTATCGTCCAACCTTTATTTTCGCATAGACCACAGTGCCTGCGGGCAAATCGTCGCAGCAAACCGCCGGATGTGCGCGTCAACACGAATAAGCGGTGAAATTATGCCAGCAACGTGTACACCAATGGATGGGGGCGGCGTCGCAACGTCTCCCTCTGCCCCAAATTGTGTTTTGTGCGTCCGTGGCTTCTGCCTTTGTTCCCTAGGCCACGGCACGCACACATTGCCCGCGTCTTGGCTGTACTGTAGCGCTTCTACCGGCTGCGTATAAGCGGCAGACGATGGCACATTATTCCAAGGAAAGAAAGTAGACCTTGCTAGCTACATAAAATATGAAATCTGTTAATCTCCAGGCTGTCTGGTAGCTGAAGGGGGAAGGACAGCGCCTCCCTGGTTCGGCCAACGCAGACACGTTGACGATACTCTAGGTGCCGGTTGGCTTGGTGAGTTGCCCGAGAAACCTCGTTTTTTCAGCGAGGTCTGCCCGAGATAGCCCTGCACACGCTCCTTCTTACATCTCTTCCCCTGTCCAGGTTGCAGGCCCCCGAGCGGCCTTGTTATTTCAACCCCGCGACCAACCAGCGAAAGCCCCAAGAGGCCTGTTGGATAGATTTCTCAGAATTATTTGTAAAATTTAAAGTTTGATAAGTCCCCGCAGGCGCCGTTTGCCCTTTTCAGACATTTTCCCCGGCTTTAAACAGCCATAAATAATAATAATAATCTGGTAGCTGAAGATGATCCTAATCATGTTTCATCTGAAACGCTCAGCAACAACAACAGGGGTCCAGCTCACCATCGCCTATACACTATAATAACATGAATGAAAACGCACCAAACTAGCTTATTTACTTTGTCAAAGGGGGATCAACCTCAGCTATTGATATGCAATTTATTTGAACGTTTTCTATAGGAAAGTGTTGGTTCCTAATTGACAAATGCGAGCATCAGCGTCAGGTTCCAGCAGCAAAGACGACCAATACAACAACCGAGCAGCCGAAAGTAGCAAATTTAATCTACGCGTTTCCATATAAGGTAGGGCCGTTTCAGTGGATATAATTTAAAATGATAAGAATCAAGAAGATAACAGTATCGCACTGACAGGTTATTTTGTCTCCATAACCAGCTTTCCTAAATAGGAAAACGACATCTCAGCCCCGCGCGGCTACCCCGGCCAACCCAGCGTACATCTCGCATCGGAGCGTATTTTCGTGGCCTTTGACTGGAAGAACTCTGACGCGGCCTGTTTTGAAAGCCGAGCTGATGCTTGGAATATTTCATTCCGGCGCAGGTGTTGCGTCAGATCTGGGCCTCGTTGGAATCCGACTGGTACGAGCCGTCTATATAAGTTGCCGCCATCGCAGTGGCATTTCCTCGAGGTGTGTATAGCTCCAACAAGACTTTCTAATATCAAGTCCTGGTCATTATTAATACATTACGAAAAGATAAACATGGCCAGCAACAATGACTCTATTTGGGTGTACAACCCCTCCTTTCCTCTGGCGGTCGTCGGATGCGTCATCTACAGTCTCTTATTCGTCGCCACCACTTACACCACCTGGGTCAAGCACCGCGCCTGGTTCTTCTCTGCCGTCGTCGTCGGCGCCGCGGTGGAAGTGGCGGGCTACGCCTGCCGCGTCTACTCGGCCAAGAACCAAGCGGTCCTCGTGAGTCAACCCTCAAAAAGAAAACCCCCGCACCGGCAGCATGGAGATAGTACAGCAACCCCCTAACAGGACCAAATTTCTCTCCAGATCCCGTACATATTGACGCTCACCTTGACCGTCCTCGCCCCCGTCTTCATCGCCGCCGGCAACTACCAGCTCATCAGCCGCCTCATCCTGTGCGTCCTCGCGCCGGCGCGCCACCGCATCCTCGGCATCCCCGGCCGGCTGCTCACGCCCATCTTCGTCAGCTTGGACATTGCCTCGTTTGTCGTGCAGGGCAACGGGTCGGCCGTGGCCAGCGCGGGCAGCTGGACAGGGCCCCGGGAGAAGATTGGGCGGTACATGCTGATTGGCGGCTTGCTGCTGCAGCTGCTCGCCTTTGGGCTGTTTCTCGCCGTGCTCGGTCGCTTCCACTTCTTGGCGCGCCGGCTTGCGGTGCCCGACGCGCCGGCCGGCTGGCGCAAGGTCGTCTGTGCCGTCTACATTTCGAGTATTGCTATCATGGTAAAGAAACCCCGATTTTTTTCCCTTTTGCTGCGACAAAGCGCGAGACTGATGACTTTTTTTTTCTGCTAGATTCGCTGCGTCTATCGCGTCTGTGAGTTTACGGAGGGGATGCAGGGCTACGCTTTCCGCAACGAGTGGCTGTTTTGGGTGTTTGAGGCGTTGCCAATGGCCGTGGCCATCGGAGCCTTTTGCGTTTGGCACCCGTCGCAACATCTGCCACGCAGCGCGCTGCTCTCCAAAAAGGCCGGAGCAAGGAAACAACTCGGCACCGAAATGGCGACAAGCACGTCCACCTCACACGAGCGCATGGTGTAAGCGCTCCTAGAAGTGTCATGGAGCTCGCTAGTCTCGTAGCCAAAAGATGCAATGTCATGGATCCGATAGAAATACTATTCTCACAGCTGCGAATTCGAAATGGCTAAAAATACAATTGCTCCTTCTAAGTGTCCAGGACCAATTCCCGCAGCGTTTCCCCAACCAGCTTCACTGTGTCGCCCCCGCTGTCAAGCAACCTCATTTCTCCATCGTCGATGCAGCGCCGAGTAAACGTAACGGGCCACAGACCATATGGTTTGTATTCCATGGGAAGTTTTTCTTGTATTCGCTGAGTCCATGTCAAGAGCATCATCTTGATGTAGTCGTAGACGTTTTGCGGCACCAAGGCCGGCGCCGCATGCCGTCGTTCTTGCAAGATGGTTGTGCCCATCACATAGTCGAGCACAATCATGTGCATAATGAGAAGGCGCCCGATGTAATTTGAGTCGTCGATAAAAGCAGGAAATTGCTCGGCGTCGATATCGCACAGTACGTCATAGATGCGTGTATGCTCATAGTATGCTAAGAGTCGAGTCAGAACTTGGCGCGGGTTGTCAGGAGACGCAACACGTATTTACCATTCACAGGGCTGTGTAGCGCTTGGGTAGCAATGCTTCGCATGATGGACAAGTATTGCAATTCTTCGATGATGCGACACAGCGGGCCGAGATTTTCAAGACTCGCCATGAACCCTCTGATTGCCTCCTCGTCAAAGTGCGGGATCGGCCTGTCGAGGGGTACCACTTCTGTCAGCCGACGCAGATATAATTCCTTCTCGAATGTTCTGAATCGCGATGATGAGAACTGCCCCATAGCATGAGTACCTATGAGGTTACCTAAGAGAGGGTCAGCCAGTGATAAGATTTAACCCCGGTGTTAGAAGACAGCGTACAGCCACGGATCATTGTCAAAAAGTCGTTGAGCCCGTCTCTCATCTGAGTGGCCTGGAACGTCAAGACGAGAGCAGTCGCAAAAGCAGCATCGGCATGCTCTCTTGATTGGCCAGCAGTCGAGATGAACCTTTTGAATCCTTCCAAGGCAGTGATGCGATGTCTTAGGGCCGCCTGTGTATAAGAGTTTGGGCTAATGATGGAGAGGTGCGATGCGCCGAGGCCGAGCATTGCGTGAAGCAAAAAGTCGTGCTGGAGTCTCCAATTAGACGCGGTTCATTTTCAGGCCATGACCACACGAATGCCTCTTGCGTACCTGATGGGCCATCTGCGCGACCTCGCGCCAGATCTCCCAGCCGTCCAACGGCAGCGACGGGTAGGCGGAAAAGATAAAGTGCTGAAAGAAGCGCATATCATCCAGCGAGAACCACGACGGGTCGCAGCTGAGCGTCTTGGCCGGCGTCTGGCTGATGACGAGGGCCTTGAGCGGCTCCTCGCGCCGGGCCCTCACCTGCAGCTTGTTCTCAAAGTACAGGCAGTCGTAGCCGAGGCGGCGGCACGCGCCGCAGGCCGGCGTGACCTCGTCGCACTTGACCTTGCGCTTCTTGCAGTTGGCGCAGCCGCCGCGGGACTTTGTGTGCCCTTTGCGCGGAATCGGGCGGCGCTTGGCCCGGGTCGTCGTCACACTGTCGGAGCAGCCCGATGACGACGACGCCGGCGTCTCTGGCGGCGTTGCCGAGTCGGACATGTCTGTATTGGCGGAGTCGGACATGATCTAGCTTGCGCGCGAGGCGGCCCTAACAATGGACTAATAAACTGCAACTAGTGAAGACGGCGGCTGAAACGTGTCCAGATGCTTCGTGGCATCAGTCGTGCTCCAATGTAGTGGCCAGCAACGTTGGGTGAGGATGCGCGCTGGTTGGAGTCGCTACAATGGCTCAGCGGAGGATTCTTGACAAAAGACTTGAATGTATGTAGGATGGGATGATGATCAACCTTTCTAGAAGAAAAACAGCTACCCCTCGTCGGCCGTGTCGACGCAAAGTGGGCAGCGGAGCGGCTGTGAGTGGTGCAAGGATTCCGCCGGCGCGCCTTCATGGGCCACCCACCCCAAGCAAAGCCCTTGGGGATGACGCAGCCTTATGAAACATGACCGTTGAGCAAGCAGGCCTTCTCCGGAAATGGCATCAATTTCAGCCTGCTCACAAGAAAAGCAGCAACGTGGATCTATGCAGGGGATTTAGGGCTTTCCGCTCAGACGATATTCGTAATGGTCCAGGGGCGGATCGTTGATTGCCCCACGAAATAGGCCGAAGGGCTGCACGCGAGCCCGCATAGGTTCCATCGAGTTTGCACAGCCTCACAGGAACCGGTCGGTTTCGCGCGAGGACTTGTCATTGATGGATAGGTAGACAAAAATAACTCTAGTCCACTATTTACTTGTTTCGTGGTATATTTCCGTCTAATCTTCTTTTGTAATCTCCCTTCATACCTCTTTTTTTACCATTCATTGTCGTCCGAGCCTGCGATAATAACATTGTTTACCTTGAGCACCATGCGACACAGCTGTGTGGCTAGCTGCAGCTGCTGCTTCTTGCCAATCAAAGGATCAATCACAAAAGCCTCCTTCATGTTGTTGCTCCCGCGGCCCATACAGTCCACACCAAGCTTGCCGCGGCTTTCAGGACCAGCCTTGACCTGCTGACTCTTGATTTCTGCCAGTGTCGAGATAGGGTTGAGACCGCTGTTCTGGGCCAGGGCCATGGGGATCGCATCGAGGGCCTCGGAGAATGCCCGCATTGCGTATTGCTCCAAACCGGCCGTCTTGGCAGCGGCATCCTCAACGGCGATAGAGCAAGCAATTTCGGCAGCACCACCGCCATACACAACGCGGTTATCTTTGACCAGGTTGCGTACAACGCAAAGAGCGTCGTGCAGCGATCGCTTAGCCTCATCGATGAGCTTGAAATCGGTTAGCGTTGTGATTGCTCATATTTGGCCTCTAGCATGTTCAACGTACCATCTTGTTGCTTCCACGCACGAATACAGTGACAGCTCTTGTGTTGGCGCATTCTTCGATGACCAGCATCTTCTCCCGCGTCGTGCCAAAAGTCATCTCCCGAACAATACCCGCGTAGCCCAGCTTCTGGGCCGTGAGGTCCGCGAATCGCGGAACGATACGTCCGTTCGTGGCAATAGCAATAAGCTCGATCTCGGGGCCTCCTACCCAGCGGACAGCGGGAAGCTTGTTCTGTAGAAGCAAGTGGTTGGCCTCGTCATCGAAGCCCCACTGGCAAATGACGAGATTGGCGCCGGTATCTTTTATTTGGTCAATCATCTCAATGAATTTCTCCTTCTCGTAGTTTTGTAGCTTCTTGAATTCCTCAACGCTCGTGATGTCGAGATGGTGCTTCGTCTTGGGCTTCGGGGGCTCGAATGCGCAGGTAAGGATGGCAATCTTGGCATCCTTGACTTCGTCGGGCATCTGGGGGTGAGAAAAGTCCTTGTCGATGATGACTCCCTTTACGAGAATAGAGTCCTCGAGAGAACCACCGACCTTACCATCAACCTTGATCAACTCAAAGTCGACATCCTTGCGCTCCAGGTCGGCGACCGATAAAACAGCATCGACAGCAATATTGGCAAATTGATCATGAGCCTTGGATACGATCTTGCTGCCCAGACTGGTGTGGGCAACCTTGACTAGGTTGGCAGTGTCGTCTTTTGTGAACTCAATCTTATCCGAGATGTTGTCAAGCTCGGCAACCGCAATGTCGCAGGCTTGGTCGTAGCCATCGGCGATTCGGATAGGGTGGATGCCCTTGTCAATGAGATCGGCAGCCTGCTCCAGCAAAGCGCCAGCCAGAACAACTACACCGGTGGTGCCATCGCCAATTTCATCATCCTGCGACTTGGAAAGCTCCACGAGCAACTTGGCTACGTGGTTGCTAATCTCCATTTGTTGCATAATCGTGGCGCCGTCGTTCGTGATCGTAATGTCGCCATCGGAAGAAATGATGATCTTGTCGAGACCTCGGGGTCCAAGAGAGGTCTTGACGATGTTGGCCACGGTTCGTGCGGCGAGGATGTGGGATTTGACTGCCTCGTTACCGTACTGACGCCTCTTCCTCCCCTGGCTGCGAACAAGTCAGTATGCATCATCAATTTGCGTGACGTTGCCAGGAACCTACTCTCTGACTACAATGAAAGGACGGCCCTGTTCGTCCTTGATCATCGTGGCTAGGTTGAAGGTTAGTATCACCGTCAGTCGCGCAAATGGCGGTGGTGGCTCTCACCATTGTTCATATCCAGATCTGTGGGAGTTAGCTTCAGGGCACTTCTTGTGCATGTTGTGGGCAAACTCACTTAACGACATTTTGGCGGCGAATCGTCTTTGCGACGATGCTATCTGGTAGAATAGGGTTGGTAGTCTTAGAAACAGCCAAAATCTGTACCACGGGTCGGCAGGTGAGAATAGCTCCAAGCTGTTCCACGCGAATCCGTAATTTTCGACTCATTGGGGGGCACTTGCTAGCCTGCAGCATACTAAGCGGGACACGGCGAAATGAAAATTCCGCTAAATTGCCCGCACAACCCCTCGTCGTGTGCCACTGCCACTGCCTCTAGGTAGCGGGATGCTTTTCAGTGGCGTGTGCCCCGCGCCAGTGGCGGGACACCAGGTTCTGCCCCTCCAAAATCAAGCTTTGCGAAACCGCAAACTTTATCATTTATTAAATTCACGCCGGTCGCCCTAGCCAACCTTCTTTTACAATTCTGATATATATATGAGATCGAGCATACCTCATACCTCAAACCTCTCCTCCTCTCTATTTTCTACTCCATCCTACCTCCGCATCCGTGCAACCTTGCCACAACTTCCCTTTCTCAATCGACAGATATTGTGACATCATACCGCAACATGGCCTCATACGAGGACGACGATTATTATGATCCTGAAGAGGATGTCTACGAAGAAGAGGAGGACGATGGTCTAAGCCCAGAGGATAAGATATCCATGGCCATTGGTACTGAAGAGGTTCAAAAGGCGCTTGGGGAGGAAGTCAGCAAGGTGTCTGTGCCGCAAATACAGGAAGCTCTCTGGCACTATTTCTTCGACGTCGAGAAGTCGGTCGGTTACCTTCAAAGGACTTTTATTTCTCCAACTCCCAAGCCTACTCCTAAGAAGTCGGCACCTGAAGGTACGTTTTTATCGGATTTTTCTTCCTCATCAGCTGCTGCCTGTGGTGGCGCCAACGGAGCAGGCCTACGAGGGAGCAATTGTGGCGGGTATAGTGCAGGACAAGGTTCTTTTCAGAGATTCGCATTTCCCATTGTTGAAGTCCCAATACTTCCAATGGAGGCATATTTTCTAGATATGCCATGGCTACGGACGCCTACCGACAGGCATACTACCTTTATCGCCCCTTGCACTCCACGTGGAGGCTTGCTAGGTGGTGGCGACGGTGCTCCCAAATTGTCCAAACTTCAAGCTTTAGCCGCTGCTAGAAAGAAGAAGACGCAAGAAAAAGAACTTCAAGCAGAGAAAGGGCTGCAAGATTTATCAATATCCTCTCAGAAGTCAGCCAGACAAACAAACGCACCGTCTGCCTCAGCATCGTCTACACCAACTCCTATGCAAAAGAGGAGTCATCTTGAACCAGAACCTTCGTCAACCGCATCAGATATTATATCATACAACGCTTCAGATGAACCATTGCATGGCATGGAAGCCCAGGTCAATGTACTTGGTCAGCGCCCAACGCCGTCCGCATTTGCTCAAACTTTGATTGGGCCTGCTCCAGGGGGTGGCCAGAAACAGAAACAGGATATTTTTGCCATGTCATATGCATCGTCACCGACATACCTTGCCTCTGCATTCTCCGAGCCTAGTCCAGACGATGTTGTGCTCGCAGCGCAGGCGAAAGGTTCGAACCTTGCGAGGGCAAAATAAAGGGCTAATTCTAATGTCTCTTCAGCCGGTAAAAAGGTTACTCCAGGTCCCAAAGCGGCACCTAAGAGGAAAACCGATGGCGGGTCGAAAGCTGACGACAAGACGGACGACATTGCGAAAAAGGTCGCCGGTTTGAAAGTCAACGCTGTGCCACCACCAAAAACAAAGGGACTGGACGTTGTCAAGGAATATGAGAAGAGCGGTGCTAAGAAGTCTACTAGCTTCGTGGTTGTCGGTATGTTAAGCAATGGTCTCGAAACTAGGACAGCACTAACGTCTTTGGTAGGTCATGTCGACGCCGGCAAAAGCACTTTGATGGGCCGCTTGCTGGTGGACTTGAAATATGTTGACCAAAGAACCGTCGACAAATACAAGCGACAAGCCGAGAAGAATGGTAAACAGTCCTTCGCTCTAGCCTGGGTCATGGATCAGCGGAGCGAAGAGCGGGAGCGTGGTGTCACCATTGATATCGCTACCAACTATTTCGAAACCGACAAGACCAAGTATACTATCCTCGACGCACCTGGCCACCGCGACTTTGTTCCCAATATGATTGCTGGCGCAAGTCAGGCAGATTTTGCCATCCTGGTCATTGATGCCAATATCGGCGCCTATGAGAAAGGCCTCAAGGGCCAAACTCGAGAGCATATTCTGCTTTTGCGAAGCCTCGGCCTGCAACGTGTTATTGTGGCTGTCAACAAGCTCGACATGGTGGGATGGTCAAAAGACCGCTTCGAAGACATTACTCAGGAGGTCACGGGCTTTTTGACAGGCCTTGGCTTCCAAGACAAAAATGTCGACTTTGTTCCTATTTCCGGGTTGGATGGTGAGAACATTGTCAAGGATATCACTGCCCCGGCGGCCTCTTGGTATCAGGGGGGGACTCTGCTGGATGCTTTGGAGGGCTCGGAACCAACTACGGTTCGAGCGCTCAAGAAGCCTTTCCGCATGGCTATTTCCGAGATTTTTCGCTCCATGCAGCAAGGTACGACAACGTTGGCTGGTCGTATCGATTCGGGAACCATACAGATTGGCGACTCGCTCGTGGTGCAGCCTAGCGGAGAAACGGCTTATATCAAGTCCATCATGGTCGACACGGACGCTCAAGATTGGGCCGTTGCAGGGCAAAATGTCAGCATCGCGCTTACTGATATTGATCCGATTCACATTCGTGCTGGTGACATCTTATGTCACGCAGCCAAGCCCATTCCTTGCAGCGATACTTTTACCATCAAGGCTATGGCGTTTGAGCATCTGATGCCCATGCCGATTGACCTCCATCGTGGCCGCCTACATGCGCCTGGCCAAATACTAAGCATGACTGCCTCGCTGGATAAGGCCACGGGAGAGGTCATCAAGAAGAAGCCCAAGGTGATCCAGCCAGGTGGTGTCGCCAGAGTCGTGATCAAACTCGCCGAGAAGGTTCCGCTAGAAGCAGGCCAGAGAGTGGTTCTTAGAGCTGGAGGTGAGACTATTGCTGCCGGCCTTCTAGAATAGACTTAACGAGACAATGAAACATGGTATTATAACACGTATATATCCTTTGCGAATTGATTGCAAAATTGGGGTTTTAAACAGACGTGCCACCGTAAGAGGAATTTGAGGCGCCTTAATAAGGTAGGAACGAGAGCTAGCATCTGCGTCGGTTTGGAAACAAGCTCCAGACCAGTAACAGAATGGCGTCCTACGGTTTGCGACTGGTCAGGCAGTGCAACGCACCATCTGAGGGGAAACAGCCAACAAAAAGGTCGATAGCCTTGTAGTCGCCATCTGCTAGGCGGTATGTAAGAACGGCGTGGTAACCTCATATGGTCCCTTTCCTACCTAGTTACCAGGTGGCCTTTGGGTGGCCCTGGCGCGCCCAAGGTTCGGCCGCTCACAAAGAAACCCTCAGTTTTGGGACGGTTTGGGGTTAGTTGGCTGGGTTTGCCACCTGGCGGCGGGTCCAAGTTTCCAGGGGCACACCCGGCTGGCGATCTGGCCTTTGAGGACGAGCCAGGCGACAATGGCGTTGCAAGTCACGCCGATGACGAAAATGTGATTCGCGGTTGGCGGCAAGGCTCTTGTCAAGAAGTCCTGCGAATCATATCATGACTCATGTTGGAAGCGAATGGAACCCGCTGCTGGACAAGAGTGCCACGATGGGTGGCGGGCGATGAGGCAATTGGACCAAGTGGTGGAGCTGCGAACAGGGGGTTGGCACTGTACGGGTACTGTACGGACAGGTGCTGCAAGAACAAAGGCAACTCGAAACGTGGAACAATACAACGGAAGGTGCTCTGTTGTCGAATTCATGGTGTGAATTTTGCTTTGAACGGCCCAGAAACGTATCACAAGTCGTGCATACAACCTCGAACACTATAATACTAGAGACACTGATGGCTTAAGTCCAGGAAAGCGCCCGTTGAGGCACAATTTTTCCGCCAAAAGAAATCCGCAGAATTGAAGCGGTAGTTACCAGCCCAATCAAAGTGTTCACAATGGCGTACTTGGTAGTCTTATCTCCGTAAGAGCCAGAGTGTTCACCTTAGATCGGTCGCGACTCTTGTTCGAGCTACAGTCCGTTCATCACTAGTGTCCAGAGGTATACAGTCACATCACGAAACAGGCTCTAGACTATAAAAGACTCCCATGGATCGATTTTTAGTACTCCTTCGTGCGATTATTAGACTGAAGGATCCACGGATATATTCGCAGATCGTGGGATGAATGATTCGGCAGTTCCTCCTTTGCTTCTACCATATGTTCTTGCTCACAGTACATTCAGGCCTTTCTAACAAAGCCAGAATTCTCTCATAGAAGTTTACCTGAAAAGCTCAGTTGTAAATAAACTTTCGCTACAACCATAACAACGTGAGTAACCATCATCCTATTTGATGAACCAGCGGAGTGTGCGCCTCGCTCGCCAGCCTGGTCAAGACGTCGCGGCAAGGCCGCCGCGGGCATGCCGGTGAGTTCAACTGCCAATGTGGCAACCCGAAAGGAAATCGTCATTTTTCCTGGGTCTTTGTCACCCCTACAGTGTGGCATCAGAAACAAAGTTCGCCAACGCCCACGCCGAAACGTGACGTATTCGACGCTGGCGCTAGGATTGCAACGTCTGCGGTAAAGTCCGAAAGAAGATTGCAGGGTTCGCATTGTTAACTACAATAATCGGTAACAAAATTTGTATCCTATTTCCGTTCGGCCTCGTGGCTGGCGGCATTGGTGAGGGACCACGCAAGGCTCATCACACATTCGACCAACAACTTGGGAGGATCGCGCTGACAACCAGCTGCGTTGAGCAAGCATTTTTCTGCCATCAAACTGCTGAGTTTTTGTACTCAGATGAGGATTCACAAGGGATAAGACAGGACCTGGAAGTGAAGCCGAGCCGGTCACAGCGAGAGTCGGGATGTCCGACTTCGTCGGTAACTCCAACTGTGAATTAATTGGCTACTATGTGAATACCGCGTCGTAAGTCCTACGGTGAACTAAGTGGCTCCTATGTAAATACCGCGTCTTGGTAACTCCAACTGTTATGAGCTAAGTTTCTACTCAGCAAATACCGCAATATAAAAGCGACGCCTTCCGCAATCAACCAAATGCTTGATTGAAACCTCACTACCTCAAGTCACTTCATATTCCTGTCCATTATACATCTATATCCAATCATACTTCTACAATGTTTGCCAAAACCATCACGAAGCGCGCCATTCAGGCTCTAGTCTTGGTTGGCGCGGCCTCAACCGCGCCCCTAGTGTCACGCGACCGCGACGACTTCAACGAGAAAATGCTCGAGGTGACCAATTGGTACCGCGCGCAGCATGGTGCCAATCCTGTATCGTGGGACGATGGTCTGGCCGACTATGCGACTAACTATGCTAAGACATGCCCCATGGGTCACTCGGTACGTCCACATCTACACGCATGTTCATGTTGGTTTCCCTGAAATATGTGATGCTAATAACACCGTTCTGTAGGACACCCCTTATGGTGAGAGCGTGGTCGTTGGCGACAAATGGACCTCCTCGGGCTGCTGGGCCAACGTTTTTGGCCACGAGCGAATTTACTTCGACTTTGACAATGGCGGCCCTGCGTCGAACACTGGTCACTTTACGCAGCTCGTCTGGAAAGACACGACCAGAATGGGCTGCGGTTGGGCCCAGTGCAGCGACGGCTTTCACGTCGTCTGCGAGTACCTCAACGTTGGCAACGTTTCCGGCGACAACAACCGCTACTACCGCGAGAATGTTGGTCGTCAAGTGTCGGGCAATGCCAACGACGAGTACCTGGGATGAAGTGGCGGGATCTTAAGGGCAGCTTAGTTGTTTTGACTGCTTGACAGTTGTCCATGTATCCTTTGTACCACTCCACAGTCCATATCTTTTGTACGTGAAATGAAAATGATGACTGCCATCTCTATCAAGGCGGTATTGGCGGCGATGGGAGCACTCGCGTCAGTAACACGGCACGGTTTCTATTGTGAACAAAGCACTCTCTGATTTGGCCGTTTTGGTCGGCTGAGTCAGTCCGCAGAGTCATTCCTAATTAGAAAAGAACAACGTGAATGAAATAAAAGCCGTAGACTCTGTTAAGTATTCCTTGTATAATACTAAAATAATAAACAAACAGGTGTCAAGTTGGGCCAGTGGCCGCACAGTGCGAAATGGACCCCACAAGCAACCCCTGTCACGTGGGGGCAGCTCCCTAGTGGCCACAGGTTAGCGCCGTTCTGGTGTACCTTACAGGTGAAATCTGGCCTTTTTGTGCCATCTGGACACCTCGACTTTTTTGGGACAACGGCTCATAAAGTCAGCCCGGCGACACCTCATTCTTCCACCTCCAATCCCCATTCCCTCCCCATCTCCATCTCCAAAAATTCTACCCAGGTGAAGCAGCCACCTCGAGGATCGGGAATCGGATTGTCTGGACTCCTTTTATTCGTTCTTTTTCTTTTACACACAGAGTGAAGCTCACAATGGCTCGCTCCCGTAGTTCGCTGGCCCTGGGCCTCGGACTCCTGGCTTGGATCGCGTTTCTCTTCGCGCCCCTCGCCTTTGTCCAGACTGTCAACGCAGAGGTCGCCGACCAGGAAGATTATGGCACTGTCATTGGTATTGTAAGTAGTTCCTTCAAACGCACCTGCGCCTGTGGCGTCAGATGCGGTGCGCCCATGGCTCCTTTGGAGCTTGATGGCTAACAGCTCCCAGGATCTGGGTACTACCTACTCTTGCGTCGGTGTGATGCAGGGTGGCAAGGTCGAAATTCTCGTCAACGATCAGGGTAATCGTATCACTCCTTCTTACGTCGCCTTCACCGAGGATGAACGTCTGGTTGGTGATTCCGCCAAGAACCAGGCCGCCGCCAACCCCTTCAACACCATTTTCGACGTCAAGTAAGCACCTCTCCTTCGTCTCTTCCCATCCACTTGGCTCGGTTCCTAACCGCTTTACAGGCGTCTCATCGGTCGCAAGTTCAACGACAAGGATGTTCAGTCCGATTTGAAGCACTTCCCCTTCAAGGTTCTCTCCAAGGATGGCAAGCCCAACGTCCAGGTTGAAGTCAACGGTGGAAAGAAGCAGTTCACTCCCGAGGAGGTCTCTGCCATGATTCTTGGCAAGATGAAGGATGTCGCCGAGTCTTACCTCGGTAAGACAGTCACTCACGCCGTCGTCACCGTCCCCGCCTACTTCAATGTAAGTTCCTCACCGTGGGTCTTCCAACCATCAGCCTGCTAACCCCCAACAGGACAACCAGCGCCAGGCCACCAAGGATGCCGGTATCATCGCCGGTCTTAACGTTCTTCGAATTGTCAACGAGCCCACCGCCGCTGCCATCGCCTACGGCCTGGACAAGACTGACGGTGAGCGCCAGATCATTGTCTACGATCTCGGTGGTGGTACCTTTGATGTCTCTCTCCTCTCCATTGACGATGGTGTCTTTGAGGTCCTCGCCACCGCTGGTGACACCCATCTTGGTGGTGAGGACTTTGACCAGCGCGTCATCAACTACTTCGCCAAGCTGTACAACAAGAAGAATGACGTCGACATCACCAAGGATGCCAAGGCTATGGGTAAGCTTAAGCGCGAGACTGAAAAGGCCAAGCGCACTCTTTCCTCGCAGATGAGCACCCGCATCGAGATTGAGGCTTTCTTCGAGGGCAAGGACTTCTCCGAGACCCTCACCCGCGCCAAGTTCGAGGAGCTCAACATGGATCTCTTCAAGAAGACTATCAAGCCCGTCGAGCAGGTTCTCAAAGATGCCAACGTCAAGAAGTCTGAGATTGACGACATTGTCCTGGTCGGTGGCTCCACCCGTATCCCCAAGGTTCAGTCCCTCATTGAGGAGTACTTTGGCGGCAAGAAGGCTTCCAAGGGCATCAACCCCGACGAGGCCGTCGCTTTCGGAGCGGCGGTGCAGGCAGGAGTCTTGTCTGGCGAGGACGGCACTGGCAGCATTCTTCTCCTGGATGTCAACCCCCTTACCCTTGGTATCGAGACCACTGGTGGCGTCATGACCAAGCTGATTCCTCGCAACACTCAAATCCCTACTCGTAAGAGCCAGATCTTCTCGACCGCCGCTGATAACCAGCCTGTCGTCCTGATCCAGGTCTTCGAGGGTGAGCGTTCCATGACCAAGGATAACAACAATCTTGGCAAGTTTGAGCTTACCGGCATTCCCCCCGCCCCTCGTGGTGTTCCTCAGATCGAAGTCTCCTTCGATCTTGACGCGAACGGTATCCTCAAGGTCTCTGCCCACGATAAGGGCACTGGCAAGCAGGAGTCCATTACCATCACCAACGACAAGGGTCGTCTGTCTCCCGAAGAGATTGAACGCATGGTTGCCGAGGCTGAGAAGTTCGCCGAGGAGGACAAGGCTACCCGCGAGCGCATTGAGGCTCGCAACGGTCTCGAGAACTACGCTTTCAGCCTAAAGACTCAGGTCAACGACGAGGAGGGTCTTGGTGGCAAGATTGACGACGAAGACAAGGAGACCATCATTGACGCCGTCAAGGAGACTCAGGAGTGGCTCGAGGAGAACGGCGCCGACGCCACCGCTGAGGACTTTGAGGAGCAGAAGGAGAAGCTTTCTAACGTCGCCCACCCCATTACCTCCAAGATGTACGCTGGTGGCGCTCCTGGCGAGGAGGCTGACGCCGACTTCCACGACGAGCTGTAATTACTTTGATGATTGGGGCATGAGCTATTAGAGCGGTGTTTATGATTTCGGGCTACGGCGTGAAAGAAGGCACATGATTTTTTGAATTGCCTACATATGTAAAAGTAGACACATACCAAAATGGAATTAAAAAGCGAAAAAGAAAACGGTCGCGTGTGGCAGTGCATGTTTGAAACGCAAGCGAACGGGTTTACGAGAAGCCTGGAATGTGTGCCGTTTGCTGGCAGCTATTCGGTTGGCAGCTGTTCGTTGATTGCAGCTGTTCGTTCATTGCAGCTGGCTGTTGATTGCAGCGGTTTGCATGCAAGCAAATTTTGAGCTTCATTCAATGCTCACTTATATGCTGCACTCTTCCTCCTTCTCCGCCTCCTTCCCTGCCTCCTTCTCTGCCTCCTTCTCTACCTCCTTCTCTCTCTCACACGCACTATCCCACATCGAACATTTCTTGCAATCAAACTCACCATGAAGAGATCGACTTCCGCAGAGCACGAGACCCCCAAGAAGCGGCGCAAGTCGCGAGTGCCTTACAGCAGCTCGCCCGCACAGGGCCATCGCACGCCCAAGCCTCCGCGCAGCAAAGAAGCCAAAGCGTCCTCGCACGAGCTTCAGAAGGTTCTCCAGAGCCACAAGGCGGAGTCCGCCCGCGTGCCCTCGTCCGCTCCGCATGCTTTGCTCGAGCCCGCGGCGCAGCTGCTCGAGACGCCGCCGGCCACCAGCCCTCCAGAGAGCCTGGTAAGCGTCATGCAAAAGATACCCCCCTCCTCGGGTTCGGTCGAGATGGATCTGAGCGACGGCGAGGAGACCCCTGGCGAGAAGAAGACAGCGGCGGACCGCGCTGCTACGCCGAGGGAGGGCCAAGACGAGACTAGCGACAAGGGAATCTCGGCCAAGAAGGAAGAGCCCGCTCCGGAGAAAAACGCAACCGAGCCCAAGACGCCAATCATAGACCTCGAGAGCGCGGTCACAGAGACCCCGGAGCCCAAGACGACGGAGCCGGCCGATGCAAAGGCAGCAGTCGTCGTCGAGATTATGGCATCGCCGCGCCAAGGCACTGGTGCTTCCGCCGACGATGCCATGGAAATCGACCCGACCAGTCCTTCCGAGCAGCTCAAGCACGAGCACCAGAAGAGCCAAGCCAGAGGCGACCAGGACATGCCCGACCACATGTCCGGCACCGTCGTGAGCTCCCAGTGGCTCCTCGCCAAGCTCAACCAGCTCTCCGCCGCCACCCTCGACGCCGACCGCATCGGCATCCAGCAGGAACTCCTCGCCATGCAGGCCTCCGTGGCGCAGCTCCCGCGCGCCGTTCTCACGCCGCCGGCGCTGCCGCACCGCCCTGGCCGCAGCAGCAGCAGCACCTCGTCGATGCAGCGTCTTAAACTGATGGAGCAGCTCATCAAACCGCAGCTGGCCGGGAGCGGCTTTCCCTGGCGCGGCTACAAGGCCAAGCTGGCGGCGCTGTGCGCGGGCAACGAGATCCACAACGCCGACTACCGGCAGCGCCTGGCAATGGTCAAGGAGATTATCTACCTGCCCGAGGAGATGAACCTGGTGCGCGGCGGCAGCGCGGAGCGCATAGAGTGCGCGGTGCGCGTGTGCGCGATGGCGACCGAGGTGCTCGGCCGGGACGGCGAGGTCATGGTGCCTAAGGAGGAAATGGAAATGGCGGCGTGGATGGCAGCGTGGATGGCGGGCGAGCTCCAGGACGTGGCGTGGAAGGCCAAGGTGACTGGCGCGTGGCGCAAGTACTGGCCGGAGCCGACGACCAACACGGTGATGTTGGACTAAATCGGTGGAGGAATGGAAATTGGATGGGCTTGGAATATTTATCCTGGAGTTCAAAAATCGAATTCAGGTAGCTTTGCTTGGATGATACTTCTTTTATTCGGTTTGTTTTGGCAGAATTGAGAATCGACGTGGGCTATAGCCAGTCGCGGGATGATTGCGCAGTTTGGCAATTAGCAGCATTGCACCAACTACAACGCAGAGATGAGTTTATGAATACAGTTATCAAAAGATTGCTCGCTCCAGCTACCCACAGAAACATTGAAACTCCAAACCTCGCCGAAATATCGGTGATAACTCGATTCAACCGTGACTTCTAGGGTAAGTGGAAGTCACGTGCACACGCGCAAACGTTGACGCGACCTGGCGCGACCCTTCACCCCACCTGGATCACGTTGGCACATATGACGACATGACGGAACGATAACTAGCCCGGCCCCTGGACGTCCAACAACGGCCATTATCAGAAAAACCGTCATCTGTTGAAAGCTTTTGGCGTCTCGTTTCCCTCAAATTTTCCTCTTTTATCCGCACATTTCTACTCCCCGCCTCCATTGCACAATGCCTGTCCGCAAGCGTCCAGTGGAGGACGTCACAGCCGACCCCGGCAACTCGCGGCGCCGGTCCGGCCGCATCTCCAGCACGCCGAAAAAGAGCTCCTACTGGGAGGGCTCTGAAAACGAAGACAGCGATGGGGATGAGGAGAAGCCGGTGAAGAAAAAAACGAAGACTTCCAATGGCGGCCGCGCGGGGAATGCTCGCGCCGTGAAAACCAAGCAGGAGAGTGACGAGGACGAGTATACGGCAGAGGCGCAGTTTGCTGCAGAGGCAGATGATGACGAGGACGAGGACGAGGAGGATGAGAATAGGGAGATGAAGGTCACCATTGTCCCGCTGGAGCAGATGAGAGACGAGGGCGGCGTGCCGTACGAGGACCACAAAGTACACAAGAACACGATGCTGTTCCTCAAGGACCTCAAGGCCAACAACCGCCGGCCGTGGCTCAAAGGTAAGCATCTCCTAACAAAAGTTACAAAAAACGGGCCAAAACAAGAAAAAAAAAGCCAGAATACTAACACCGCAAATCGCAGCCCACGACGGCGAGTACCGACGGGCCCTCAAAGACTGGCAGACATTTGTCGACACGGCGTCGCAGACCGTCTCCTCGACGGACACCACGGTGCCCGAGCTGCCCGCCAAGGACGTCGCCTTCCGCATCTACCGCGACACGCGCTTCAGCAAGGACCCGACGCCGTACAAGCCGCACTTTTCCGCCGCCTGGTCGCGCACCGGCCGCAAGGGCCCGTACGCGTGCTACTACCTGCACTGCGAGCCCGGCGGCGGCGGCAAGTCCTTTGTCGGCGGCGGCCTCTGGCACCCAGAGGCCCGCCACGTCCACAAGGTGCGTCGCAGCATCGACCGCCATCCGGAGCGCTGGCGCGCCGTGCTGGCCGCCCCAGAGATGAGGCGCTGCTTCTTCCCGCAGGTCAAGGACGGTGCGGGCCCAGAGGCCGTTGTCAAGGCGTTTGTGGCAAAGAATCAGATGGACGCGTTGAAAAAGAGGCCGATGGTGAGAGAGCCCCCCCTTGATTTTTTTTCCCGTGGGTTTTGTTTGTTGCTGATCTGTCGGTGTGTGCCAAGGGATATGTTGTGACCCATCGTGACATTGAGCTTCTCAAGCTCAAAAATTATACTATTGGCGTCCCGTTTGATGAGAATGTCCTGTGCGAGGATGACGCGCAGGAAAAAATAGCCGAATACATCCGTGCCATGGAGGGATATGTGAGTCTTGGACGTTGTGCAGGTTTTGTGCGAAGAGAGACTGACGGATTGCAGATTACATTTCTGAATAGCATCGTCATGCCGGATCCCGGGCTCGAAAGCGACAGTGACGAGGACGATGAAGAGGACGGCGAAGAAAACGATGGATGAATGAGAAGCCACCGAGCACGCAACTAGGAGCTGGAATCTTATGTTTGGATACGACTTTGTATTTCTTAGCATGTACATATATATCATTGGATAATTTACGCGAAATGGCGTCATGGCATGAGTCTATCATACAATACTCGATATCATATACAACCTTCAAACTCATATACAACGCATCAACTGACCAGAACATGCACTAGGAGCAAGCACAGACGTTGAACTGCGCCACGCTGGGGTCGTGGTCGCTGACCTGGCTGTCAAAGTCCTGCCAGGTGTTGAGGTGGAGGTGCTCAAACTTGGCGTTGCGGCGCAGGGCATTGCTGGCGTACATGTGGTCGAGCGTCTGGCAGTTCATGTCAAAGAGGTAGCTGTAGCGCTCCTCGGGCGGGGTGTTGACGACGTCGTCCATGTTTGTCAGGCCCGACTTGTCGGCAAAGACGCGCATGGGCTGGACCTGGGCAAACTCGTTAAAGTCGCCAGCGGCAATGATGCGCGCCTTGGGGTCCTTGGCGAGGATCTCAGCGATGAAGGCCTGTGGTTTAGTTAGCATTACTGCTGGAGAGTTGGGATATTGTTCAACATACGGCGGCGACCTCGTTTTGGGTGGTGCGCTTGTCGACGCCATTGTTGAGGGGAGGGCGCTGGTCGCCGTGGAGCGTGGACGAGCCGCCCTTACTGCCCATGTGGACGTTGACGGTGAAGAAGGGCTTACCGCCGCGGAGCGTCTTCCACTGCGCGGCGAGGGGCTTGCGGCTATTGGCGTACGCGGGGTTGGCGGGGTCGATGCGACCGGGGTTGTACTTGAGCACGGGTCCGTCGAGGACCTGGTTCGCATCGGTGCTGCCGCCCTGATTGGGGTCTTGCAGGCGGAGGACGTCGTTGCGGTAGAGGTAAGCCTGGCGGATGTTGCCACCGACCTGGCCGCCGTCCTGGTTGTTGACGGGGTCGACATTGGAAAAGTTGTAGCTGACGCCCGATTCAGCGAGAAGCGCGTCGGTGAGGGTGGTGAGTGTGAGGCTCGCTGAGACGACGCCATTGTTCGTCGGACCCGAGTTGTCCTGGACCTCTTGCAGGAAGATGAGATCGGGCAAGCGAAGCTTGTGCACGATCTGGTCGACGACGCGGGGCAGGTGCGCCGAGTCGGGGGCTAGGTTCTCGGCGTTGTACGAGGCGACGGTGACGCCCCGGCAGTTGCCGGTGCTGTTGAAGGCCACAGGGGGGAACTCGCTGCTGGCGGAAACGACAGGCGCGACGGCGGTCAGCGGAAGCAGACGGTAAAAGCCAAAGGCGTTGTACACGACGCCGGTCACGTCACCCAGGTAGTCACCAAGCTTGGTGTTGTTGGGGTTCTTGGAGCCATCAAGTGGAGAGCCGATGATGATGGTCTCTGGGTTGGCGTCTAACATAGAGTTAGCAGGGATGTAATACTTGGGGGTAAGTTTCCTTATGCCCTTACCTCCTTCGAGCATGGTGATACCACCGTGCGCATTAATGCCGGTCGTGTTCCAGGCGCCGCGCACCCAGACATCGCCAAAGTTGTTGGGACGGCTGGTCTGATAGGCGCCCCTGATGGTGACGAGCTCGCCGAGCAGGCTCTGCCAAAAGTCGAGGCCATACCGGGCCGGGTCAAGGGTGGGATTAGACGTGGACACGAGGTTCACAGCGTTGGGCACGCCAAAGATGCCACCGACGTCGAGGCCCGTGTAGTCCTGCGTCGGGGGTGAGAGGGTGTCGACGGCAATGACGAGCGGCTTGACAGGGTTGCCGCTGGAGCGGACGACGACGTTTGTGGGACGGCTGAATTCGGTGAGCTGAATATAGTTCTTGTTGGATCTACAATCATTTGATAAGTGCTTGCGACAGAGTCTTGTGTACGGCGATTCTCACCTGTACATCTCAACGCGGCCGTCGAGCGAGATGACGTCGCCGACCTTGACACTGGTGAGGATGCTCTTGCCAAAGACGTAGAGGCCCTCGGAGGTGCGATCGTCATGGTCTGGCTGCAGCGAGCGCAGCCAGACGCCGTTTTCGTTGGAGGCGGTGACGAGGCCGGTGAGGTTGGTAACGTCCTTGCCGTTGAACGGCGAGACGAACTGGTTGCCATTGATCTCGGCAATGGTGACAGCGGCGGCGGCGGAGGCGGCCGTCAGCGCCGCGCCGAGGAAGCGAGCAAGAGTCGTCGCGTGCTTCATTGTCGCAGATTTGGCAGAGGTCGTACGGTCAAAAGACTTGAGGATCGCTGACCGGAATAAGGACCTGGCGCGCGCACCTCGTGAGCTATTTGTATGCTGCGATGCTACCCTCCTGCCCTTTCGTTCACCGAAGGATCCAATACTGGCAAGCCATTGCAGCTTCGTTCAGCTGCTGATACGTAGAGCTGGACTGCACTAGCTCTCGAGCTGCACAGCATGGCCCCTCCCGAATTTCTTGGCTCGGTCTTGATGGCGTTTTTTGTCGACAACGTGGGCTTGGCCAGCTCTCTCAGGACACGGAAAGGGCCTGAGCCATCTGCATTGGTGAAGCTTATTGGCTAGACGATTTTTTTTGATCGGATCGAACCATGCCATCGGATAAGGGTTCGTGCGGCGTTGGGGAAGAAAATGAGACGCGACTGCGCTTCGCACTCGAGCAGTTCTTGTCTCCTGTCGATCCTATCTTGTTTCGAGTCGGATAATTGCTGCATCGATCGCGGTGCGCCGCCCGATGAGGAGGAGGCGAATTGAACCCAGAATGGAAGGAACGGAGGGGGCCGTAGACATGCTTAATTTAGCGGCCTTGAGCGGACCTGACGCCAGGGCAAACCCGCTGGAGGCGTCGAGAGGCGTTGTACAACCCCGCTAACGACCTCCTATTGCAATTGTCCGGCCGCTAATTAAATGCTTTGTTGGCTTCACGTGTTGAAAGCAATCATGTCCATGCTTGAAGCTTCTTTTCATAAAAATATGCTTCAGTGCTTCTATGCACAGCTTGGCAGTACAAATGCCAAAACATTAATGTCGAGCCGTTCATTGGCTAGATCCTCAAGACAAGACCCACATATATGCGCCCTCGAGCCCCCGAGCTGCCCCAACACTGCCCTCGATGACCTCAATCAAGCTTCATCAATATTTGATCAATAGTTATCAGGCACGAGTACGGATACGGAATCATTCTTCATGACGACTCGTGACCAATCCCTGGTCTCGACACTCACGGCACTTCAGGAGTCCGATGTACCGGGCCACGAATAATACCGTCCGAACCAGGCATCATAATTCGCCAAGTGCCCACTCTCAACCGGTCCAATGATAGCAAGGCACAAGCGTCTTGTTACCGATATCATGAACTTATCTGCACGTTCGATGGCATAATGGCATGGAGTTTCGCCAGCTGGACTTTTGGACCTCCCATCACCTCGAATCGCACGCGTGCAGCAGCACTCAATATGGATAGCCAAGCACAACCCATGAAAGCCGAACAGCTGACTTTGGATCCAACGTCAAAGTCAATGGGCCGTTAAGATCCAGGTATACAATACGCTGCGGATGACAGATGGTGCTGCTTGGCCTTGGCCCCAGGGGTGTTGCCAAGTTTGCTCAGTAACCGCTGACCGGCAATCGACTCTTGTCACCACTTTCCGTGCCGTGGAACCCGAGTCAACCCGTATATCCCATCTGTTCGATCTATGCACCATGGGCCTGGAACTTGAAAAGAACCGCCGGAAAAGTCGGTTCCTCGGTCGATGAGGAGTACGAGAGACCGGGGTCCTACTCCACTTGAACTATAATTCCACGACAACCGCGGGTCAATATCACCATGCATCGCCGACTGCCGTACGCATCTCCGTCAGCGACAGAAACATAAGGCCAAAACCGGCCATAAAAAAGATAAACTTTGCAAAAACATGATATAAGCTTAATTATATCACCGCATCCTAGTCGTGGCCCCCACTGACTCGGTGATTCGAAATGTTGCCCGAGACATGGCAAGGGCAACGGCCAAGCTGGTCCCTGGTTGTTAGGGCACCGAACAAGCCGCGATCCAAGACAAGTATAAAAGAAACAGAAGTCCGTGTCAAACCAATCGATATCATACAACGCGCCTCAGCACAGTCTTACAAACCCTAAGCCACCGCCGCCGTCTCATTCCCATATTGCTTTGCCTATCCCCTCTTACAATGAAGTTCCTCGCCGTCCTCGTCCTGCCATACCTCGCCGGTGCCTCTGCCATCAATGGCCTTCCAGATGCCAGCACCGGCTACGTGAAGCGCGCCACCGGGGCCTCTTGCTCCTGCGAGGGCGCCACCCCGGCTCCGCCCGCCGACGGCGCCGGCCCGTACCTCTGCGCCGATCGCCGACTCGGCCCCAGCCAGCTGCCCACGAAACTCCCGCTCGGCAGCTTCGTCTCGAGCTACAACCGTCTTGGCGGGGAGGACGTGACCGTAGAAAAGTTCATCGCGACTTGGACGGGTCCCGACGGGCGCTACCAGTACCCCCCGCAAAACGGCTTCGCGCTCGACGTGAACGGCAACGCCGTCAACGGGACGCTGCAGCTCCCCGTCGGCACGCTCCTTGACCGTTTCGGCAGCGAACGGGGTAAGTCGTCTCTGGCCTTCCTTTTCCCTCTCGCTATAGACTTGGTTCGCCTCATACTAACGCACACAGGCTCGTACGTCTCCGCCGCCAGCGCCCCCTTCTCGCAGCGCTCGCTGCCGCCGTCCAGCCTCGACACGGACCCCAAGAACCCCGACTTTCCCTACGGCTACCACCTGTACAAGGTCGTGCGCCCCTTGAGCGTCGTTGGCGGCCCGATTGCGCCCTGGTTCGGCCAGCCCGGCCTCGGCGCACAGTTTTGGACAGGCGGCGTCGGCAACATCCTCACGCTCATCGCCGACGGCTATATTGAGCGCCAGGACCCGTCCATCCTGGTGACGCAATCGCAGGGCGCCTGCACCCAAGGCACGGCGTAGGATCGTGAACGATTTAAATTTGGATATAGCATTGATGTATCTTAGAAGAGAGTAAGATGATGAATTAAGTACGCCGCTCCGACGCGCATAAACTCCCGTGAAAGCAGTATTCCATCCCTCCGGAAATCAGTACCCAAAGTCCTCCCACACAACATCCTCCCCATCGAGCCAATCCTGCAGCGACCGCAGCAGCGCCGGCCCCGTGCACAGATAAAACCTCGTCCCCGGCCCCCCCATCGTCTTGACATCCTCGGCTTTGATCCGCCGGCGGTGCACCCCCTCCACGCCCTGCTCTCGGAGCGTCCCGACCGCGTCCTCCTCTGCGCCCGACACAAACAGCGTCGTCACGCCAGCCAGGCCCTCGATCCGCGCAAACGTGTCCGTCACCAGCGCCACGTCCCGTGCGCTCACGCTCCACAGCAGCCGCAGCCCAACGCCCGCGTCCAGCACGCCCCGCGCCTGCGCCAGCAACGGCGTGATGCCGACGCCGCCCG